CTTTGGGTCTAAGCAGGCCTGGGTCCGTCTGCAAAATGGAGCCGACAATTCCTGCCCTCCCAGATCAGTGCCCCATAAACTGCATTGCTGTGAGCCGAAACAGAGGTGGGAGCTCAGGAGAAGACCCAGGGCAGTAAAGGTGCAGGGGAGGGACCCCCTTGCCAGCTGGGGGGCAGAGGTGTTCCCCAAAGGGTCACAGGGTATAAGGCAGGAATAGCAGGAAGAAACTGAGGTGGGTTTGGCCTATGGGGGCGGTGGGGAAACAGGCAAACTCACCTCGGGCCCCAGCTGCCCGGGGGGTCCTGGCAGGCCTCGAGATCCAGGCTTACCCTAGTGAGAGGGAAGCAAAAGAGGTCTTACAAGTGGTACCTCATCTTCATTACAAGCTAGCAACCCCCCCAAAAAACAAACAAACAAACAAAAAAAACAAGCTAGCAACCCTCCCTCTCCCCCCAAACTTCCAAGCCAAGGAGCCAGCCCTGAGGACTGTGGCCTCTCTCAGCTGTCAGCTTCTTCAACTGTAGATATCAGAGCAGGGACTCACCTTCACACCTTCTGGGCCGTTCTCCCCTGGGGGGCCAATGTCACCAGGGAATCCCTGAGTGGAAGCAGAGAGCAGGCGTCACCTAAGAGGACTGGGGAGTATTAATAGCACAGGCCTTAGAGGGGGACAGCTCGGGAGGGCCATCCAGGTCCTGAGAGGGACGTGACCCTGGGTAGGTGAGTTAACCACCTTGAGCCTTCTGTCCAAGTTCCATCCTAGCTCGCTCTAAAACAGGGTTTCTGGTACCAGCCCCTACACCTCAGACAGTTGCTGAAAAAATGAGATGAAAACATGTAGGAAAGTACTTAGCACGGGAACAGACACACGCAAGGAAAGTGGACCTGGCTCTGGGCAGTCAGGACCCCACTCTGCTCATTCCTTGTTCTCCTGCAGCTATATTTTTCGGGGACTGCTGTGACTTTGAAAGGGTTAAGGAGTGTTGACCTAATTGATCTCAGCTCTGCTTACCAGAAACTGAAATTCCTACTTTACCGTGGCCAGGAAAGCTGGATTCTGTCCCATACCACCAATGAGGTCTTCCTGACAAGGAGCAGACTACCTTCCCTTCCAGCCTCCTTTTGCTGTGCTTCAGGGCCCCACAAATCACAGATGTCTTTGTGAAATTTGGAAATCAGTTACCCCATCCCCCAAGGTCTGCCCTTCCCTGTCCCTTTAATGGCTTCTAATCTGGGGTCCAGGCTGCTCAGCTTGGCTATCTCTGATTGTTAGTGATCACCAAAACACCCATGTTCCCATGGTGTGGGCTGACCAGCACAGGTTAGTATGGGAATATCCCCTCCTTTGTTTTAGATGTAATGCCTCTAGTCACTTGGCCTAGATCCCCACTTACTACCCTACTACTCAGTTTCCTCCAACAAGAAAGCCAACTTCTTTTTATATGAATCCTTCAGACTAAAATATCTCCTCCCATTTGCGTTCCAAATGACTTTTTTTCTTCTTTTTTTGACCTTTTGGGAAACTCTGTTAAATTTCAGCTTAAACACCTTCTCACCCTTTTCACTGGCAATAGCCAGAAAGGTCCTGAATGTGAAGCTAACAAGGAAGTCAAAGCTCCTTGCCTATTTCTTTAAATCAAAAGTTTCAAAATCCCATTCAGCCACCAACTCACTGTGTGGCCCTGGGCAGACTCCTGGCCTCTCTCATTTGTAAACTACTGACTAGCTCACAGGATTATTCTGAGGCTTCAAGGGAATAATGTGAACAAAGTACTTAAGTTTGGTGCCTGGCACCTAGTAAGCACTCAATAAAAATCTGCATCCAACAGGGTTTTGGGTACCAAGCCCTGGGAAAACAACTTTTCCTGGAGAGGGGCCACCTCCAGGGAGAACTTGGCAGTTGGGAAGCTGATCAAATCCTCGTGCTCACACACAGATCCATCCCCTTGATGAATGGCAGCTCATTCTTGGGGGACCTGACAATGGGAGCTCCCACCCACGTCTCTGGAAAAGCAGGCAAAGCCCAGGAAGGCGCTGACATGCTCATCAGCTTCTGTCTGCAGCTGAGCTGAGCCATTTCTGGATACTGTCAGCCAACCAGACAGAGCCGAGATGTGAGAGGCAGATCTCGGCTTTGTCTAGGACCCCAGGAGAGGATCAACGCCACCTCATTTGCTACAAGCAGCACAGTGACCCAAAGAGAGTCACTTCCCCATGCCGAGACTCGGTGTCCTCCTCTGTAGACCAAGAGGAGGTTACGGTGGGGGTCATGGCTCCATCACAGTGTGGTGGTGGCAATTCAACAGGGTCTCACCCCAAACGCACTGCACAGCCTCTTGGCACAAGGCGGCGCCTGATATACAGGCAGGAGTACACTGTCCACCCTCACTGGCCAGACTGCTGGGAAACCCAGACTCTCAGAAAAGTCTTTTTCCAGTGACCTGAGGAAGGAATAAGGGCCGGGAAAAAGCAGCCAACTCCAATTGTCTAAAGATAGGACTGCGTCATGGCCAAAGTCAACACAGCGGAGTCAGAACTTGCAGCTTTCAGGAAACACTCCCTCATCTGTGCAGGGGATACCAGCAGTGATCTCTGGAAGGATCTGGAGAAGCCAGCAGAGTCAGGCTTTTGCAGCTGAGACCTTGCGGAAAAGGCCAAGGAGTTGAGTATGTATGTATGGGGGGAGGGGATTCTCTGGCTGCAAGGACGATGCTGGGTAGACAAGAGTCTTGGCACTGTTCACTCTGTCCAGAGCTAATCCCCAAATTGGGGAGTGGAGAATGGGGGTGGGCGGTGTCAAGAGCTCAACCAGCTGCTTGACTCTGCTATATGTGAATGTCCTTCCATAAACATTTACATGCCTATGCTAACCATCACACGCATCAGAAACTCCCGGGGCTCCAATAAATCACCTCGAGTTATTATAGCATTGCTAAATCTAGCCTTCATTGGTTCCCATTCTTCATTCAGACACCAGAACTTTACCTTTGCTCTTTATCCCAGCAGCAGAGAGCTCTGGGCCCTCAACTCTTCTAGGGTGCTTGTGCACAACTGGAGGAATTCTGGGACTCAGAAAAGTTTGATTTTCAAACTTCAGGGTAGAGAATGTGGGAGCCCCTGTTAACAGCAGCAGAGCTCCGAGGCTTCCTGGGGTCTAGGAATTTCTGTTCTCGGTTTCATCTCTCACTGGCTGTGGGACCTCAGGCAAACCTCTCCCTTTCTCTGGACCTTGGTTTCCTAAGGACAGCAAACCCAGTCTGAGTTGCAGCCCATCAGAGAAGGGGAGCACCACATACCTCAGGTCCAGGGGGCCCGGGAAACCCCAGGGATCCTTTGTCTCCAACTCTGCCCTGTGGAAGACAGTGGGGGAGGCAGGTAAGTGAGGGCCCACCTTCCAGCCACTCCAGCATTGTCGTCTGGCTGTGGGTAGCTGGAAAGTTCAGAAGTATGTGAATGAAATGTGTCTAAACAAAGACGGAGAGAGAGCACAGTTCAAACCCCTTCTCCTACAGCAGCCATGGGGCCTTGGACAAATCACTTTACTTTCTGGAACCATCTACATAAGGAAAGTATTGACTCTTTAGTTCCCAACATTCCTGGCAGCCTTCAAAGAGCTACAAGGGACAGCGGACGAGGCCTAGGGGGTCCTGGATTTGGGTGGCAGTGCTGCAGACTGATGTCTGGCTGTGATGCTGCTGAATTTCTGTTCCCCTGAACCTCTATGTCCTCATCTGTAAGTGGGTGACTCCACCCCGCTTCGCTCCTCTCCCGGGGCTGCTGCAGAAGGTGCTTCCAGTCACAGTCCCTATTTGGAGAATATGAGGTTTGGGGTCTCAGAGCAGAGAACACTTACCAGTGGCCCTGGCTTTCCCCGTGCTCCTGGGAACCCTGGCAATCCCTGGCTCCCCTGGAAAAGACCCAGAGCAAGTTGATGAGGAACAGAAAGTTCCAGGGTCACCTTTGCTGGCCTCAGGGCTGGAGAACACCAGCATTCTGGGAAGCAGGTTAGGAGTGGGGGATGTGCTCCTTCCTCAGTTTCCCGGCTTACAAGCTCCCACTCCGCCCCCTGTGGTTGGATGCAAAGGTGGACAGCAGCTCTGTCCTGGACCGGTCCTGGAACCCAGGCCCCTGGGAATGCTGGAGCTGCGGGGCTCAGCAGGAAAAACAGCCAGACCTGTGTGGCTTGAAGCCCCGAGACACTCAGGCTGGGTCAGGACAGTCACAGTCGGGATGGGGGAAGGAAGAGGGAGAGCGGGCCAACATCTGGGCTTCATTGACTGGCTGGGGGAGGTCCAGATGTGGCCACATGGTGCTGGACACAAGCAGAGAGGAGCTGGCCTCGCAGGCTGCTGAGCCCAGCAGCTAATTAGGCAGGCTGGTCACTCACTCTCATTCCTAAGCCTCCCCTGCTCTGTGTGGAGTTTGGGGGACACTGGCTGCTCAGGGAAGGAAGGGGCACTTGGGGTGCAGACTCTGAGAGACGCTGGGTCAGGGCGTGCAGAGCTGGCAGGAGGCATGCGGGCCGGCGGGCAAAGCCACGAGGGAACAAGGGTGCAGGGGTGAGGGGCGGGACAGGACGGTGTGATAAGGTCGGGCTCACTGGTCTGGGGGCCTGCGGGAGGAGTGGGGACTTGCAACCCAGGCTTGTTTGCAATGCAGAGCTCAGATGTGCCCAGCGTTTGGGAGCAGTGAAGAAGAGCCTGCGAGGGGAGAGCCTGGGGCATTGTAAAGCCAGGCGAGAGATGAGGAGAGTGGACCAGCGCAGAGAGGCAGGGTTGTTCAGCAAGAGGCCTCTCGCAGGTGGTGGGTCTCAGAGCGGGAGGAAAGGCAGGACCAGGGCAGAGCAGGGCAGGGGCACGGGAGGGTCTGCTGCAGTTACCTTATCTCCTTGGAATCCGGGATCTCCTGACACACCTGCAACCCCTTGTTCACCCTAAATACACAGCAGCAAAGAGGGTTACATGGGGGCCGCATGGATACCTGGAGCCTCCCCACGTCCAGACCCACTGGCAAGGTACAGCTTCGCTGAGGCTCTTCCGACCAGCAGCAGGCTTGCTAGATAAAAAGCAGGCCCCCGGGGGAGCCTGGGTGAGGAAGGTGGGCCCTGGGGAGGGGGGCGCCAGGCCCGCCCCTCTGCACATGTGTCTGGGTTTGCTCATTTTGCTGGAAATTGCACTGACCAGCTAACCTGCTGAGGTCACCTGGCCTTTCCTGGTGGACACACTTGTGAGCCAAAGGGGCTATTTCTGGATCCTTTGACCTCTGCATCACCCACTGCTATCAGGGGAGCGTGGCCCACACCCTAGCAGTGTGGCTTTCTGAATGCCTGTGTCTGATGCTCTGTATTGTTCCCCGCCAGGCTCTGAGCAGTCCCTTCTTCCTTCTGTGAGAGTTTCTATGCCAGCAATCATCTTCGGTCTGGTTCCAATGAGCTGCTTTTAATCAGCTAGAGCGGGAGAGACCAGATAGCCTGAACTGTTAAGACTGTATGTCAACAGCAAATAAAAGGGCCCGAGCTGGATCTGGGTGTTTCTTTTCCAAGACGATGTCGCCGCTGGTGACACCAGGTCTGGCCGTCAGGGGTCTCTTTTGCTCCCTCATGCTTTTCAGTCACCCGGTTGAATGAACTCGGGGGGTTTTCTCCTGAGGGTCAGCACCCCTTCACCTGGCATCCCCACTTCTGGCTTTCCAGTGGATGTTACCAACTGTGCGTTGGTCTCAGACTCAGAAAACATTCACAGCCCTGACAACAGTTGGAAGAAAGAGGAGAAACCCTAGGAAGAATGGGGCCTGGGATGACCCACGTGGTGCGGCGGGGGCCGCGTGGTGCAGAACTTCCTTGGTAAAACAAAAGCCAGAATTAAAAAAAAAATTTTTTTTTTTTCATTTACTTTGGGTTTCTGATTTGGAAGAGCCTATATACATCCCAGAATTATAGGCAACAAGTCAACAAGTCAACAAATGTCCTATTGTCCCAGGAAGAGTAAAGGAGGGTTGGGGGACCAAAAAAAAAAAAGTAAAAGGCACCTAAGAAATCCGGCCAGTGGTTTGGAGGGAGCTGAGCCCGGAGCAGGCCCGTGGGGCTGCAGAGTGTGGCCGCGTGCAGGGACGGAGCCAAGTGTGTGTAAGTGGGAATGAGGCCAGGCTGGGTCATGGAAAATCTGGGATGCTGGGCAGGATGGCCACGGAACATGACGGGGAGGGCCGGGGAGCAGGGGAGAGGGGCGAGCAGGACCCCATGCCTGCAACGTGAGCACCCCTCCCCAGTCCAAGGACAGAAAAGAAATATCTTTTTCTTTTCTCCTACTTCTTTTTTTCCAGTCCCAAAGACTTCTTTGATTTTCCTCAAAACTACGGGCAGGAAAATCATTTCCTCCTCCTCTCACCCTCCCACCCCCTGCACGAAGCTTTCCATCTCTAAATGTCCCAGGCACCCCAGTCAGCCAGCCAGCCGAGTTCTAAGTAACACATTTATTTCCATGTTCCCGAAGAAGAGCGAGCCGAGGCCAGCTCTGTAGAGGGCCTGTGAAAAGCTCACTGCCTCCACTCCCGCTTCCCTTCTCTCCCCTCACCGACTTTGACACTCCAGAGGCGTCTCAAACCTCAGCGGGAACAGGCAGTGTGGGGAACCCCTCCACCCTCGGCACAGAGCCCCGGCAGCACCACGGATGGGGGGCTTTGCCGGCAGCAGGGCAGACTCAGGGGCGAGCTGGGGGCTCAGGTGGGTAGAGGTGCCAGGGGCTTCCTCTGGAGGCTTGGGCAGGAGAGCAGGAGGTGGAGGGGCGGGGAGCAGACAGGGAGAGGACTGGGCTTGGCGTGCACCTCTGGCTGCCGGGGGTGGGGGGCCCATTTCAGCTCAGCAATTCTAATTTTGTAAGATTCCAGGGGTCTCGGCTGCTCCCACATTAAATCACTGGGGTTCCTCTGATAGATCTGTTTCCCCAGCTATGAAATACAGGCACTGGCCTGCAGCCTGGTCTGAGTCCCGTCTCTGCTCAGAACTGTCTGGCTTGGGGGGCTTCTGATCTCCTGAGGGCTACAGGGGGTTTAATCCATGAGGAGTGGTCAGATGCTGTCATCTCTGGTACATGTTCCTGTTCTCCGCTTAGGAGCAGGGAGACACCTGAAGACAGGTGCTGAGGAGACTGGGTATGGCTGAGCAAACTGCATGCGGCCTGAAAGCCCTTCTACACCCTTTTGGGGTGTCCGCTTTGCCAAGAGACTAAGGCGGGGGAGAGAAGGAAAAGAGCCAGAGGATAGAGCACAAGAAGACCACGCCCTCTTTGCCCCCAAGTCTGCCCCTCAGATCTACGTGACGCAGGCCAGGTGGTGACCCAGACAGGTGATGGCTCCAAGTCCCACCTCCCCGCCTCCAGCTCTGCTGTGACATGGGGACACAGAGTTCAATGGCAGATCCGTGCGGAGGACACAGGCTCATATGTGTGCCCTTCCCCGGTGACGGGGAGGAAGCAGGTCAGGGCGTCAGGCCGCCCGGCTGCCTGCTGCATGTTCTCTCAGACCCAGTGCTCTTGGGGTCAGTTTCCCATGTCCAAGCCAAGAGGACTGTACGGATGCATTTTGCCCAGGCCTGAGGGGTCATCCCTCGGAGGCCGTCCCCCCTTCCCTCTTGTGTTTCGTGGCTTCCGGATGTAGGCTTCAGATTTGTTCTCCGAATTCACGGATTGGCTTTGCTTTACCCTCACTGGTATCTCAACAGACCCCAGGTTTTATCTGACCAGGGTTGGTTCCCCCGGGTCCATCTGCTGAGCATCACCAGAGCCACACGAAAGAATCTAGGAGGGGAGACTGGGGGGACAGGCGGGAGGCGGGAAGCGTGCGGGGAGTGAAACTGGCAGTGAGCAGCCGCAGAGGAGGGTCTGCATGCAGATAAAACAGTGCGATAAGGGCGTATTCAGATCACCTTATCACCTTTCAGTCCGGGCTCCCCCACGTTCCCCATCAGTCCCTGCAAGACAAAGGCCGGGCCCAGGGGTGAGGGAGCGCCCATGTGTCTGAAGTCAGGAGGCCTGACTAAGCCCCCGACTTGCTGCAACCTGGTCCCTGATGCCCTATCAGGACCCCATTTTTTCATGTGGAAAAGGGGGCCATGACCCCCAGCTTCCAGGGAAATGGTGTACACTGGAGGAGCACGAGTAAGGGGCAGTTACTTGTGAGCTAGAGGACTCAGGACAAACGCAGCACGGAAAGGGATCCCTGGGGAGACGCTGGGGGGCAGGGTCACGCGGATGCCAGGCGCACGGGTCCCTGCAGACTCAGCCAGTCTTTCTTCTGCCAGCCACCCGGGCAGGGATGTGCCGAGTTTGCCGGCGTGCATTCTAGTGTCTCTGCCCCCAGGACTTCAGTGCCCTGAGACCGGAACCACAATCAGGTTCCGGTGCTCAGCTCAGGACCACTGCCCATAGAGATGGCTGCCATAGAAGGCGCCCAGAGGGCTGGTTCTCCGACCTGCCACCCTCCAACCCGGCACGCTCGAGTGTCCACCTGTCCTCCCCTCCCCTGATGTTGTGTCAGGTCACCCTTCTGAGCTGGAGTGGGTCAGGGGTACCTGGCTGGGATAAGGCCCAGATTTGGGGGTGGCTCCAGCTCACCTTCATGCCCTTGGGTCCTGGGTAGCCAATTGGGCCCAATGCTCCCATGTCACCCTGGGAAAAGAGAAAGAGGACAGCGTGAGAGGGGCCCCCTGCAGCCTGACCTGGCAGGGATGCCGCCCTCGGTGCCTGAGGCTGGGCTTCCGAGGATGCATCCCTGCTGGACTGGTCAGGGAACTAGGGGTGCTCGTCTATTTACCCCCCTCCCCCCGAAATGCCAGAACAAACTTCACATAGGCCTTCCCCAAGTTCATGGCTCGATTGCTGCCCATCCCACCACCACTTTCTCCCATTTTGTATTAGATAGATAATGAGATCTTGGCCCGGTTTAGCTTTACAGCCCATTTTGGCTAGGGGCTCGGAGCATTTCATGACCGTCTTGGATCTCGCTCTCCCTCTGTCCAAGTGCAGGACCAACAACTCCTGCCAGGCCTTGCTGCCAAGGTTCACCATGGCACACCCGACAGTCTTGTTTCCCAAGCCTTGCTTTCTGCTCCCCAAAGCTCAGCCACTCCTCGGGAGCTTGTCCGTCAGCCCCTGCCACCCCGAGTGGGAGACAGACCCACTGGCTAAGATCAGCTGGTAGATCCTGGACCACAGGTGGGAGCACAACTCAGATCAGAGCTCACTGTCCGGGGCGAGCGCCGCGGAATTCCCAGACCCCGGGGAGCCAGGTTCCCTTGGCAGATGTTCTTCACGGAAGGTTCCAGAAAGGTTGACACGCACAGCCCCAGTGCAGACCACCATCAGACCACCTTTTCATCTCTGTTCAGCTTCTCCTCATCATGTGATTTGGGGCGCTCCCCCTCTCCACAGTTGCTATGCAATTATGAGGTGAGCTCAGCAGAGAAGGGAGTGTTGGGGGCAAAGAATCCAAGCTGTCTGGCTGGGGGAGGCCAGAGTCAGGGGAAAGTCAGCCCTGAGAGCCCAGAGAGTTGCCCTGGAGCAGACCCTTCGCTGCTTGCCCTCTCTCCTTGCTTTCCTGGATGCAGGGCATGGCGGGTAGTCACCCAGAGTTCTCTGTGGTCCACAAATAAACAGGGTAGGCTGTGCTAGGTCTGCTGGCTCCAAAGGGGCCCAGGGCTTGGGCAAAGCACAGAGGACCAGCCAGCAGCTTTAGAGCACGACTCCTTTCTGCTCCAGACTGAAGGCAGCTTGCGGGGTGGGAACATGATTCAACGTTGGGATGCCGCTGCAGTCCCATATTCCTGAACACACTTGCCATCTCTGCAAACTTCTCCAAAGGGGTGGAGAGAGGGCAGGGACCTGTGAAGGCATCCAACCCCGGGGGTTGCAACCCATGAGCCGTGGCCTCTGGGTTCAAGGTGCACGGAGAAGGTGGAGGATTGCTTAGGACAGGCCTAGTTCTGAGGCTATAAAAGTATTTGCAGGAAGAACAGAGAAAACTCCAGGCCACATTCCCCCCATCCAGCTGGCAGTGCACCAGTCTGCTCTGTGCCGGACAGACACCCTCAAGGGCAGCTTGGCCACACGACGCACAGAATGCTGTGTCCCCTCAAGAAAGAACAAGTAATGGATCGTTTCCACTTTGACTAAGCTCCCAGATACCATCCCGCACTCTCTGCCTTTCCTCTGGCTGATTCCCACCAAGAACATGACCAACCACATCTGCAAGCACTTAGAGCATGTTAGACACTTTGAAGTTTCATCAACCCCTCTTCAATGAGATGACCCCTGGCGCTGTGCCAGGATTGACGCTGGCCGGGGGGCCACTCCCGGGCAGTTCAGCGGCTCTGTGACGTCAGCATCACTGGCCCCATCCCATCTCATACACGAGAAGACGGAGGTACAAAGCAAGAGAGGTGGAGGTGCCCTGTGCAGAACCCAGGTCTGTCTGTCTGTCCAGCTCTGTCGTCCATATTCCTAAGTCCCCATGTGTATTCCTGTCACAGGCCAGGACAGGCTTGGGAACAAGAGTGAGTGCAAGGCCTGTGGTACATGCTGGCAGGTTTCCTGCCTGGGGTTTCTGGGCACCCCTGTAAGGAAGCCCAAGCAGCTTCTAGAGCCCGTGAGCCACAGCAGAGGCGCTATCAGGGTCCCTCGCTCACACACCAGGCCTTCCCGCTGCTGTAGCGGGGACACCCTCGGCCACGGGCTCCCATACCCATACTCCTGGAGCAGCTGCCCCCCATTGTCTCTCTGCCCACACGCTGACCCCACAGGCCAGGCCACGCCCTGACATGGCTGTCCCTCAGTTCTGTCCATGCTAACGGCCAGATGTGGGTGCCACATGGCTGCCTCCTGCCTGTGCCCAAGGCAGTGCTTACCCCGTGTGGCTTAATGAACGGGGAATCAAGAAACCTGCACTGGCTGCAGGCAACAAGGCCTCTCTCCAGACACTCTGGTGTCTGGGGACCCCCAGTTCCGGGGGTGGAGACCTGGGCACTGTGGCCAGTCCTGCCTCTGTGTGGTTTGAAGAAGCCCATCCCTCCCACGAGCGTCCCTGGCACGGCCCGGGCCACTCTCTCACACCTGTCTCCACTCGGCGCAGGTGGCATCCGTGTAGTGTGGGGGTGCAGTGAGGGTGTGACCCGAGGCGGGAGCTTCACCTCTCGGAGCCTCCGTTTGCAATTTGGACAACGGTAACTCTCTGAGCTCAGGGGCCGCTGTGAGGATTCGCCACTTAGCACAGCGCTCAGCACAGGAAAGTTTGGTGAACGCCAGCTACGGGGGATCCTAACCTTGCTTCATGGGCAAAGAACTAAAGCCAGATGCCCATTCAGTGACATAACATGGTGGACAAGCCCAGTATATCCCACATGCAGGCTTCTGGCCCGACATCCTATTTCTTGGGATCTCATTGAATGGAAGAACCAAACTTCCCTCTGTGAAAGAGGCAGAAATCTTTGTTTCACAGATTCTGGAGTCAGCCACTTTTCTTGAGGTGCAGCTAGGGATTTCATTCCTCAGAGGGGGCTATTCCAAGACAGGAGGGGGCCACAGTGGCTTCATGGGGTCACAGTGACACGAACCTGGATGGCAAGTCCACCCAGGTGAGCTGGGCCTCAGCGCCTCCATCTGGGTGGCCAGGCACCGGCCTCCAATAAATACCTCGAGGCTCACAGAGCCTAATGTATGTCAAGCGCACACAGAGCAGACAGACGCGCCGTAACTGCAAGTCTGTCCTCCCGCGCCCTTCCTCCCGGCTGCAAGGACCCAGAGGAGCAGGGGAGTTTCAGCTCCGTCTGATGGAAATTGCTTTCACTGACTAGACAACAGGCCTTGAATAAATCTGAATCGCCACTAAAATGATTATCAATACGTGGAATTCCCATTTGCTCAGCTGAAAACCCACATCCGCTGGAAAGCCGTAGCTGACTCACCATCCCTCTTCCCCTTGAACGCCTGCTTAGAAAAATCCTTTCCTCTCCAACCTTTTGGGAGACAAATCTTTCCCCAGGCACAGAAGTAGCTGGTCCTAAAACTCCAGGGTAGGAGCGGGTGCCGTGGGTGGGGGAGGGCCCTGGCCCAGGAGCAGAGTGACTTGGCGGGCTCAGGGCCAGGGCGACACTCCCCACCCCTGCCGCCACTCAGGCACAAGGCACAGGGCGAGAGGGAAGATCACCTTGGCAGCAAAGGGAATTTAAAACCCAGGAGAAATGAGGCCAAAGAGGTCAGGGAAAGACACAGGGCAAGAGAGAGACTAGGAGGGGGTCCCAAGGGGGCTGGGGGCGCAAAGACTGAGGGGGGGGCCCAGGGCTCACTGAGAGAAGGCAGGAGAGGAGCGCCAGGGACTGGGAGTGGGGAGCCCTGGCCTCCGCTCACGCCTCTGTCCTCTCTTGCCTTGTCGAGTGATTTGACCAAAGGTCAGTGTTCCCATCTGGCAGATGGGACTTTCCTAAGAAATACTACACATGGGGCTGCCAGATGGAGCAAAGGAAAACACAGGATGCCCAGTTAAGCTGGAATGCCAGGTAAACAGTGAAAGCTATTTTAGCATATTTAATAGCAGTCGAAATTCAAACTTCACCAGGCATCTCCTATTTTATCTGGCAACTCGAGGGCAGCGAGCAGAGGGAGCCAACCTTCGGGATGCGGGATGTGACCTGAAGAAGGAGCCTTGGGAGGAACACACAATCTCCGGCTCTAATCTCAAAGAGCCTCTCCCCAGGGTAGGGAGATGCCTTGGGCTCCACGTGCAGGAAGCCTTGAACAAGGAAAGCTCTGTTCACAAGGGCTGGGCTCCCGAAGGAGGGTGCTTCCCACACCCGGGTGTGCCAGTAGGATTTTAATGACCCTCTGACCAAGAAGTTCCAGAAGGCTCTGCTGTAAGCGCAGAGAAGGTGGGTCTAGAGGCCGCCGAATCCCCATGGCCTCAGGTTCACTAACTCTCATGGCAGATATTTCTTTTTCCAAAGCATCTAGGTCAGCACCTTGTGCCAAAGAAGGTTCTCAGCAAAGGACATCAGGCATGACAAATGAATGACTCAGGTGTTGACATTTTGTCAGGAGACTAGGAGGAGGCGAGGCTAACTGGGACAGGCTGATCTGACCCTGGACACCCCACCTGCCTGGTTTTGCTCCCAGTGCCCCTAACAGGAGCACTGGGGCCTGTAGGTTCTCCCCAGCACTGGCCTCCCCCTGAGTAATGAGAACCCCCCAAGGTGCCCCTGGCACCTTCTCCAGCCTTCCTCTGTAAAGAATTTCTTATGGAATGGCCAAAGCTGGCAGCCCACTTGTAAAGCGAGGGAATGGGTCTACGTGGGTCACTGTGCAACCCCAAACCCCAGACTGACACCCACGAGGAATGGCCCAGCACGCACAGCAGAGGGAGATCAGTCACAGGGGAAGCTCCAAGTCATTTCCCAGACTCATGGCCCTTTGAACAAAGCCCAAGGTTGTGGCTCGCCCTCTGAAGGTCCAGTGGGGGTGAGTCTAGCGCTCCATGAGGCTACCCCAACCTGGGTAGAGTCACTCAGATGCCTGCCCGCCTTCCTGCCACCCTATGTACAGGCTTCCCCCACTCCCGGGCACTGTAGGGTAACAGCAGTGTTCATATACCCAAATTTCCCAGTCATTGTGCTCAGTCCCCACGCCCCATTTAATCTTCACTCCATCTGAAGGGAATTCTACCATCATCCCCATATTTCTGACGAGGAACAAAGGCTCAGAGAAAGTAAGTGATTTGGCCTCGGTCACACAGCCAGGACGTGGCAGAGTATGACTGGAACTTTGGTGGCCTAGCTACCGTCAGCGCTTTGAAGGAAAGGATGGAGACCACTGGAGGCCACTGGCTCACAGAAGGTAGTGACCACCTGAGGTCACTCCCCACAGCCCCTTCCCAGACAGACCGGTCCTGGAGTTGGATGAGAGACGGGCCTTTTCAGAACCCCCTGCAGGATTTGTCACTGGTTGGCCATATTCACCCAGCCTTCCCCCACCCCTCAGGCACCTGAGTACTTACAATGAGGCCGGGGACTCCGGGGGGCCCTGGCAGGCCAAGTTCTCCCTGAAAGTAGAAAGAGATCATGGTGGTGATCAGCCCTGCTCTTTCTGGGGTTCACTTCTTGCTCCCCATCTCTTGTGCAGGCATCTGGTGGCATCTTTTGAAGCTGAAGTTGACTTCCTAGGGCTGACCTATGACTCCCTTATCCTGGCCTGGAATTTGGAAGAAACCCATCAGTTTTTGCATTCCTAACATGGGAGGTTGGGTCCTAATGCCAGAATCTTCCAATCATCAGCATGAAAGGATGGGTGGAATCTTGATCATGAGAATAGAGGCCTCTCCTTGCCCACACATTGTAGATGGTAAACCTTGGTTAGTGTCTTCCCAAGGCCAAGAGCAAAGTAACAACTCAGTGGTGAAGGCTTCCTCCCTCCCTCTCTCTGTCAATAAGGGCTGGGGTGCTTCGAGAGCCCCTCACCCCACAGGAAGCTCTCAGTGTTCAGTGTTCCACCTTCAGGAGCCCTGGAGGCTGGGGGAGTCAGGAAGGGCGAATGAGTGTGGCAGCAGGCAGGATTCCATGTCTTCGTCTCTAAAGGACCTTCAGTTGTTTACACCAGGAAAGACTGGTAGGACTTGAATCAAGTTCAAACAGAAAAAGTGTGACTAAAAATAGGAGGCACTAGAAAGGATAATTATCACTGAGAATTGCCAAGGGTGGGGGTGTCTTCAAGGCTCCTCAGATGGGACATCACAACTACAGCCCTGGAGAAGACCAGGCGTTGGTGGGGAGTAGCTTTCTCTTTCTCGTGTGAAAACTGAGGCCCAGGGAAGGTAAGTGACTTGCCCAGGTTTGGCAGCAGTGGTGTGGCAGAGCTGGGGCAGACCTCGGGCCCCTTCCTATAACTCCAGCCCATGAGTACAAAGACCTTCCCCAGGGGACGTCTAGAAGGACACCACAGACAACAATGGTGAACCCTAGAAGTGACATTTTGAAGTGACATTTTGGGAGGGCCGCTCACCTCCTCGCTCAGCCCAGTCCCAGCGTCACTCTCAGTCCCTGCACCTCTCCCTTCTCCACAGCACCTGGGACCCCGTCCGCCCCACCCACCTCATTCTACCCTGTGGGATAGGCTGGGGACCTCCTCGTGGGCGCCTCGAAGCAGCAACCAGGCCCCATTATTGCCTCTTACTTATAACCACTCTGCCCAGAGGACACTTGTCTGGGCAGGACTCTTTCCCTGCCCTGTTCATTTCCTTGTCCCCACAGCCCTTGAGACTATCACCCTACTTCCCAAATTTACAGAAAAGGACACAGATTCAAGAGATCAACTGATTGGGGCAAGTGGCGGAGCAGGATCAAGCTCGGCCCAGCTGGCTCTGTCGCTGTTTCAGCCTCCAGGGTCCTGGGGGGCCCATCTCAGCGGGTGGGCTCAGGGAGCATTTGTGGAATGAAAATTAGCACATAATCAGGTGCTGACTATGGACGCAGCAGCCACCTCTGCAGAGGGCACAGCTGGACACAGCTGCTTAGGCAGGAAGATCCGAGAGAGGGGTGGGGTGGGGGTGGGGGGACATGGCAGGTACTCCAAAGGGCTCTGGACATGGACTGCACCCCCAGATGGGGAGCAAATGTACTCTTCTGCCCAAGCCTGGAGCTTGGACAGGAGGAGCAAGCAGACTCATCCCGAAGGGCAGGCTGACCTGGCTCCTCCATAGGCCTCTGATTATTTACAAACTATAAACATGCCTGTGCTGGAGACATCTTTAGAGCTCCCTGCTCCCCTCCATACAGGGCTTGCAATCCCGCCGGCTCCCCCAGGCCACTGCCAGCCCACAAACACTGTGTAAGAGCGTGGCACCCCTGGCCTCCCCAGTGGGGAGGGACTCAAGAACTCTCCCCAGTCCCTGCAGTTGGGCACAACTCGGGTTTTGAGAGCAGGGGCTCAGAAGGCTGGTCAGCTTTTCTGGGGGCCGGCAGGGCACACATAGTGGACAGGAGCCTGGAGCTCGGTGCAGTGATGCAATTTGTCCAAGGGAGGCCAGGCACTAGGGCTCAGGACTCAAAGTGACCCAGGTCTGTCTGACCCCAGAGCTTGACTTCAGAAAATCGATTGTGCATTTGCTCTGCATCTTTTTCCTGTACCCACCAAAGCTTTACAGGCATACTCACGGGGTTTCCATCCAGCCCAGGGGGGCCTCTTTCCCCAAAGTCTCCGGGAAATCCCTGAGGGCGTGAGAAAGACACAGCTCTTTAGCATTTCTGCGCAGGTGGCTCTGATCAGACCCCCAGGGCACACGGGTCTTGCCTACACAGTCTCACTTCTTGGTTTGGGGGTCTGGGCAGATGGGGTCCTGAGTCACAAACATACCACACACAGAACTCAAGACCTGGATATTGTGGAAGGGTCCGTGGCCAGCGAGGCTTCTTCCTACATACTCAGAGTCTCTGAAAAGACCATAGTACCCAGGCTCTCAGCACAGAAAGGCCAGTACCTCCAACCCACACCCCCACTCACCCCTGCCTGGGACACGGCCTGCATGCAGCAAAAAGAACATGAACCCATGTTAGGAAATGGGGCCTTGGCCTGGGCCAGTCACTGATAAACTTAGTGTTTTTGTTTTTTCTTAAGACTTTTAAAAAATGTATTTATGCATGTAAGAACTGGGGTATAGACCAGAGGTGCGGAAGATGAGAGGAATCAGAGACACCAGAGGTAGAGTGGAGAGAAGAACAGGCAGATGGACTGAAATGCACTTCTGAGGGAAACAGCGGGGAGACAGGAGAGGTCTGCTGTACCATGGTGGGTCACCTCCCTGATCAGGGATCGAACTTGCGCTGCAGTGGCTGCGGATAGCTTCGTAGTGCTGTGCCACCACAGAGGTCCTGATTTTTTAAGTGTTTGAAGAATATCGCTTTCTCCCATGGGCCTCAGTTTCCCCACTGGTCAAGGAATGGAAGGCCTCTGTGGAAGGTCCTGTTCAGACCTTCTGTGATCGCTGCTCAAAAATCACCTGATGGAGTCATGATCCCCATTTTACAGATAAAAAAATCGAGTCTCCAAAAGAATAAATGTCAAGGAACACAGCACCCCAGCCACAGGTGAGCTTCAGCCGCTAGGAGGCCAGGCCGCCCACCCCAGCAGGTGAGGCCCCCACCCTTCCCTAGCCACACAGCCCACTCTCTGGGCATTAAAGAAGGTTGGAAACACATACCTGGTTGGGGGCTGGGGCTGGGCGAGGTAACGCTATTCTACTTCTAAGGGAAGAGAAAGTCCTCAAACTTGGAATTTAGGGACGCCTAGTCTCCTTCCCTTCTTAAATTCAGATTGTTCTTTTGACAGGGGAATTCTCTAAAAAAGCAAAGCATATGTTTTTCTGATCAAACGAATGCCTGAGTTGTTCAAACAGCAAAGATTCCTCAAGGAGGACCCTGGATCTCCACTTCCTTACTAACCACAAGTCTAGTGAGTAGACCAGAGCGAAAGACCAAACTGGAAAACAGAACTCCAGTAACAGCCACTTTCTTGTCATCTATTGTCATGTACACAATACATACTGCTGAGCAGAATCTCAACTATGTGTGTGCCCAGGTCCTCACCTTGTCCTGCCAGGAGCCCAACCCCCCAGCCCCTTCTCTGTCAGAAAGCTTTTTTTACATCAAAGGGTGGGGGTTGGCATTCACCCGACAGGAGGACTGGCATCAGAATTCAGATGCCCAAAGGACACCGTGAGGACATAACCACGAGATTCGGACAAGCAGGTCACTCTGCCTGCAGAATCTCACTAGGCTTTGACATCCGCCCTGGAGGGGAAGTCATCAGTCCTGTTTAACAGATGGGAACAAGGAGGCTCACAGAGCTTATGTCACTTGGTCAAGGTCAAAAAGCAAATCTGTGGCAGAGCTGAGCTCAGGTTCACCTCTGTGGACTCTGCCAAGTTCATGTGAGCTGTACATGGGCAAACCTGGCATGTGGAAGATGCTCGAATGTGTGCCCAACTAGATTCAGAGGGAGACTGTGTGTAGGGGGTGGGTGGGGGGTTGTGCAGGCCCATCTCCAGGTCATCTGACTCTAAGATTCCTTTCCCTACATCTTTGGGGTCTCTCCTTGACCCCAATGCAATCCCTTCTGTCATGCTGTAAAGCAGATCCTCTCACCTCCTGGGACAGAAGCCATCAGTCAGGTGGGCTTTGGTCACAGGGACCTTCTGATGGTATTGATTTCCCACTCCTGGTCTTTGAAAGTTGGGGTGGGGGCCTGACTCCCAGGAAACAACGGGGTGGGGTGGCACCTGACTGATTCACACAGCCCACAGGGGCAGGATGTGAGAAGTCCAAGCTTTGCTGTCCAAGTCCACTGTCTAGAGACTGCCCGAGACAACCCTTGGCTCCCCTGTGGGGCGTGACCTTGGGCAGACCCTCACCTGAGCCTCTGACCTCCTCTGTCCCAAGTGTGTGATTGCCTTGTGCCATTTCACCTGGCCCAACCCTCTTCTCCAGGCCCAGGAAGGCCAACCACCCTGGGGTAAGATGGAGACCCTGACAACACCCTTCTTTCTGGGTGCCCATTCTGCATTTGATGCCCAAGGTAGTCACACCCAGCCTCCACAGGCAGGGCTGAACTCGTGCATCTGCTTCCAGAGGCTACTCTAAGCTGCCCCAAAGACACTCACACCTTGTCCCCTGCTTCCCAGAGCAGGCCAGGGCCAGTGCTGGCTGCACCACCCACAGCCTCTCCAGGCCTCCGCTGTCCCTGCTGTATGATGGGGAAGGCCAAGGATGAGCTGAGCTGCGGAGGTATGTGGAGGTTTGCAGCATTGCAGGGGCATGTGAGCAACAGGAGAGCATCAGAAAGGCTGAACTTCAAAACTGGGTCCCTTCTGCAGACAACACACAGCCCACGCATCGCCGGAGGTGACGATGGTAGGCCAACAGCAATGAGAGCAATAGTCCAGTGAGGAAGTGGTATTATCAGCCCCAGTTTAGAGAAAAAGAAACTGAGGTCCAGAGAGGTCAGGGAACTTGTCTGAAGTCACACAGCTATGGAGTAACTGGGATATGCAGGCATTCTGACTCCAGAGCCAGACAAATAGAAAAGCCTGTCATCTCAGAGGGCTCATCAGACCCCGGGTTCGATGCACAAGAGAACAGCCTGGCTGAAGCCCTGAACACTGCTTCTGCTGCACAGAGCCCGTGTGCTGCATCGCCCCAGGAATCTGAGGTTTGTTGTTAAGAACGTAATGGTTGGGGGGGGGGGCGAGGGGAGACAGCAGCTTTAAAAGTGCTGGAACGAATCTTTGATTTCATCCTATCAAAATATTTGGCTAGAAAGACCCTGACAACCTCAACTCTTAGCACCTTCCTGAGCCAACAAGGAGGAAGCCCAGAACATGCCCCGGGCTCCAGCCTCACACTTCCACTACGGAGTGCCTTATCCCTTTTCTGACTCCTCCCAGGGCCCCTCTGGATCTCAGAGAGGCAGCCACAGAGCTGGACATGGGGCCCCCACTTCCACCCGGCTGCTCCCTCTGTCTGGCCTGGGCACCACACGCCTGGCCAGCTAAGCCCAAGAACTGCCCACAGCAGCCTGGCCTGTGGCCCAAGGAATGAGCTCGATGCCCTGCCGGGGCCCAGCTACATGGTTTCTCCACTTCCCCAGGTCAGGGAGACCCCTGGGAAACCGGACACCTCTTACTTTGAGCAGAGCAAGGCTCAGGAGGAGACAGACCAGGCTCCAGGATGAGATTCCAATTCTCTTGTGAGAAGTCAACATGAAGACAGTGGTCACCGCATCCGAGGCAGGATGCCCAGGCCGAGGGTCAGCTCACCCATGTCCTGCCTCTGGGGTAGGCAGAGTGTACCCCGGTGGTTTATCCAGAGGATGGGGTGTAGGCACAGGGGCACAGGGTGCCTCTGGGATCAGAGTCCTGCTGGTGTCACTAAGACAGCACTGGGCCTCAAGTCAGTCCTGCCCAACTCACCTGGCAGAGCGGAGCTGAGATGCCCGGGAGCCGGGCCCTGGCACATGCCAGCTGGGGTTGGGGCCTAAGTGGGAACACTTAATAACCTCTAGGAAGAGCCCACAGAAGGAGCTTGTGACCTCTTAGCAGTGTTAGACTCTCCAGAGGCCTCCCCGGTGCCGCAGCAGGCTTGAGCACAGCATTGCAAAGCTAGTGGGAGCCACTGAAGTGTGAGTTCGATCCCTGCCCCAAAGGTGACCCACATGGCGCAGCAGACCCACTCGCCTAGCCCACCCACTGCTCCCCTCAGCAGTGTACTTTGCTGATCTGCAGGCTGTGCTCCCCGCGCTGTCTCTGGCGAATCCTCTCACTGCCCCTGAATGTCTGGCCTGTGCCCCAGTTCTGTATGCACAAATAAATACATCTTTAAAAAAATAAAATAAGATAAATTCTCCAGACTCGGGATGCTCCCTCACAATTGCACCCCTCCCACTGCACTTGAAGTTCATGTTCTCTCCCAGATGTGTGTGCCCCAAATATGTGGAGGAGGGAAGACCCTGAAACTCTCGGCTCCCTCTTCTACTGATCCTCAGATTCTCGGAAGCCAGAGACCTTGACCAAGTCATTCAAGTCTTGCACCTTGATATGTTCACTGTACAGAGACCATGCCCAGCCCTCTGGAGGCTCCCATGAGGGAGAAGGGGCAAATCCTCCATGGGTAACTTTGAGGCAGGGTGATGGAACAGGGGCCTGCTGAGATAACCTAAAAGAATCAACAGCACCCACTCTGTGACTTAACCTTCAGGAAAACAGACCCAGAGAGGTCAAGCCATCGAGAAGCAGCCATCCAAACAGGAAAAATGACCGCTGCTAGTATTGAGCACTGACTGTGTGATTTTGTTAAGGGGAAGGCTGTCCTATAGGAACTCTGCAGAGTTTGGTGGACTCCACCTCCCACTCCAGTGATCGGAAACTACAACTCCCAGCAGCACCAGGGAGAGAACTGTGAGGACCCAAGGGCGGGGCTAAGCAGGAATTCTGGGACTTTGGGGGATAAAGAGGAAGCCATTTTCTACAGTGCACTCTTGCTTGGGCAACAGCTCTCCTGGGTGTGACTGAGGGCTATCAGTTAGTTTGTTACCAGAGCTCCAAGTCAGCGGAGCTGGTAAAATATTCTAGTTAGCTTGTCTCTCTCTCTCTTTCCGTGGGTTGTATCTTCTCCTTTCCCCTTTTATAAATAAACCCATTATTGACCCTTTCATGTGTGCCTGCAGTACAAGTCACACTGGGCCCTGCAGACAAGTGGCCCAGGTCACTCTGGGCTGCCCATTACAGTTTATTATGTAACACCATGTGACTTAGTAGGTGAAAAGCGCTATGACGCTATGAGCTAGCAGCTACTGCCCATTTCAGACATGGAAAACTGAGTCAATAAAGTTCCTGCCCCAGGGCCATTGTACCTGCTGCTCCCACAACAGGAATGCTCTTCCCCAGAGAGCAGAGAGCCACGTGGTGCCCATTTTCACCTCGTTCAGACTTCTCGGGAAATGAGGAGGACTTCCTGGACCAGTGAAACCCCCAAACACTCACTGTTCCTCTAACCTGCTCTATCCTAATGCTTGGCACCACCTGCATTTCAATCATTAACCTTTGTTCTCTCAGGCCTTCATTGTCTGTCTGTCTGTCTGCCCACGAGGACAGGAACTTTGTGCTGATCACTGCTCAGCACAACCACAATGCCTGGTCCAAAGTAGACACTCAATAGCTCTTGACTAAATGAATGAAAAAATATGTGGGGGGGGGGGCGGCATGGAACCCCCGCCCCAGAGACTTGAGGGCCAGATCCAGGTGCTGGTCCTCGGCCAAATCAGGGGGCCAGGTGCTAGACCTCTGGGTACCCAGGAGCTGTGGGGTTACAGATTTAAGTCTGAGGGTGAGAGCCTCCTCTGGCAACTCCTTACAGTCAGGACCTGGATCTTTCTTTGTATGCCCCCTCGGTCCCCCCTTGGTCCCCGATGGACTCACTGCATGTACAGGTGAGGTGCCCTTGAACAGGGCACCCTTGAGTGCTCCTGGGTCCCTCTACGGGTACCTCTCAAGTTCACCTCCCCCAAATCCCTTCTTCATTAACCATAAGCAGAGGGGAGCCCAGATGAGGAGGTAATGACTGTTCTGATCTGGGGGCTCCCTGCAGGGAGGCAGCAGATGCTGGACCCAGGAGAGGTGACTGGCTCACCTGCTCCCTTGTGAAGAAGGAGGTCACACGCAAGCAACTGTCTCCCAGGTTAAGATACTAGAAACCCACTTGCACAACCTGATTAACCACCAGTGAATCTGAGAGGGTCCCCTGAGGAAACATTGAGATCAGAGGTCCTAGAGGTGAACCCAGTTAGAGCTCATACTGTGACACTGGGCAAGTCACCCAACTTTTCTACACCTTGGCTTGTCCTTCCTGCCCTGCACACACCCAGATAAGAGGAATCCAGTTTCCTGCTATGATGGTGTGTCATGGGAAAGCCGGTAGACTGGGCTATTGGAGAGCTGCCTCCTTGGGCCTAACGCCACACCCCACTGCCCTCCAGTCTCATGTCTGCACAAAAGGGGTGACCCTGAAATCATAGAGACTGAGCGTCCTCCGAAAAGGGAGCATGATCCCCCAGGTTGAGCAGACCCGTGGACACTGATAAGCTAGACACCAGGAGCTCCCCACCCCGCCACCCAGATGCAGGGCTGACAACAGAGTGACAACATGGAAATGTCCCAGAGGTGCCCAGGGAAGGCCCCAGCCCCAGCCCAGCAGCAGCCACCCAGCTTCCCGGCCGCAGGACACGAATTCCGACAGCCTGCGTGCCTGCCCCACACTCAAAGCAGAGGGACAGCCAAGCAGAGAAGCAGAAAATGAATCCAGGCTGTGGGAGGTCAAGTTCACCCAAAGACTGTGCGTAATAGACACGGAAAATCTTTACCGGCCTACCCATCTTGCCCCTCTTCCCAGGAACACCAGGCAGACCCTGCAGGGGGAGAGACAAGGAAGAGGTCAGGTCAGGCGTGCCACGTGGATGGCTAACACCGCCAGACCCACCCGAGCCCCCCAGAAGACGTCACAGAGGGTCCAGCGTGCAGGCCTTGTGCAGCAGTGATGGGTGCCCGACAGACGGGCCTTCTATGGGGTTGGGGTCTGCACCCAGCACCCCTGATATTCTGCTGAATAAATGCGCCTCTGCTGTCCTAGATTCTCTACACCCAGCTTGTTGATGCCCCAAATGGGCCAAGGCTGACAGGGGACAGTGAAGACAGTCCAGAGACCCTTGGACGGTCTCTGTCATAATTGCTCAACTCTGTCTTGAGAGCAGAAGCAGCCAGAAACACTGCGGGCTAGAGTTTACAGACACTTGCCCTGAGGCATAAAGGGGGCCCCTTTCTTATTTGCTGCCAGCCCTTCCGAAGCTCCCCATGCACCCTGAGACCGTGACTTGGACCCTGAGAGCTGTGTGAGCTCAGGCGCAGGGTCCCCTCCAGCTGCGGTTCCCCCTGCACCTGCCCCACATGCTGCTCCCAAGTCTTGGCTTGCTCCCTATTCAACTCCTATTCAACTCAGGAGGACTTCCATGACTTCCCCAGGCACAGGGGGTGAGAAGGGAGGCAGAACAGGAAGGCACACTCACTCGTTCTCCGTCGGCCCCTGGCAGCCCGAAGAGCCCTGGGAGGCCAATGTAGCCCTAGGAAAGAGCAGGTGGGGGGTCAGAGGCGCTGCGTGATGGGGTGTGTGGCTGGCCTGACGCATCCCAGGCCTCCTCCACGCCTCCCACACCCGGCTCCTCTTCCTCGCTGGCGCAGCCACGGCTCCGGCAGATCCTCGACGACATAGGCCTTGAGGCAAGTGTATATGCCCATGGACTGCATGGTGCTGGCTTCCACGATGTAGTCCAAAGGCACATACCCTCACACCAGGGAAGGGCGCGGGCACTCGCAGGGGGAGGCCCACCCCGCGCCGGGGCTTCGGGACCTGCGGGAAGGAAGCTCTGCGCTGTGTTAGATGCTAGCGGGGCACGAGGTGCTGCCATCCCCGGGGACGCTGGTGACCCCCACAGGTGTCTAAGGCCATAGGCGCACAGCTCACATCCACTACTGAAGTCCTGCCAAGCACACGAGTCCCTGCATCCCACCCTCCCACAGGCCCTGCGGGCTGGCTGTCACCCCTCGCAGGATGTCACCCCTCGCAGGAAAGCACGGCTCTGGGGATGAGGCCGCACAAGTCAGTGGACCCCTGGGAGTGCACCATCCCAGAAGGCACCTGACTGCCTCCCAGCTTCTAGTCATGCTGTGCCTGCTACCAGGCAGCCCCAGCCCACGCCCGGTCCCCGGAGCAAACCCTTCAAAGCCCAGCTCTACAGTTCTCTCCTCTGGTGAGCACCCTCACACGTCCTCAGGGAGCTGTCTCTTCTGCAACTAAATGCATTCAAGTATTTGCATTGCAGTAATTTCTCCACTGTACCTTTACCAGCTATGTCCATGTTTCTGGTCCTCATTAGCCTGGAAACTTCTCAAGGGCTGGGACCTAGTTCCAGGTTCCTATCACTGTCTGCGCTCTCTGGATGTTTGGGGAATGACTTAATAAGAACTATAATAAAAGCTAATGCGTACTGACCACAGACTGTGGGCCGGATCCCCCACTCAGTGCTTTGCACACACTAAAGCACGTACTGCACTCTTACCACACCCCCAGCAAGCAGGTATTATTGGTCAGCTCCCTACAGAGGGTGCCCAGAGAGGTGGAGTGACTTGCCCAGGGTCACTGCTAGAAACTGCGCCAGGGCCAGGTTCCTAACAGCTCAGCGACACTGCCTCACAGCCATCTCTCCTTTGCACAAAGTCAAGAGGTGGCAAAGCCTCCTTCCCAGCATCCACAGGGATAAATACATTTTCTGACCCTTCCACGTAAGGCATATATTCCAGGTTGAGAGGTGAGAAAATGGACTCAAGACCCCATTGCCAGCTACCAGCGGAGCAGGGCTCAGACCTGCGCTGTCTCCCTCGTTAATAGGAGAGTGTGGCAGGCGGAGGGTGACTCGAGCAGCCCTGCTCAAACAGCGTCCTGTACTCTGAGGCCCCAGGACGGGATGCTGGAGTGGGTCAGCCCTGGCCCACAGAGGGCCTCAAGCTCCCGCCAGCGTGGTCCAGCAGCAAGTCATTAGCAAGTGCCCCTCTTCCCTGCCTCGCTTCCTGGCCAGTCAGGACCCAGCGGCTGAACTGGGGAGACTTTCTTCCTGCGCTCAGCAGGCTTCTCTGGGGCCACAGTCGGATCAAGGAAGGGGAGCCCCCGGGCCCTGCATACCACCACCATCATCGTCACGTCCTCGGGAATGGCCCACCAGCCCCTTGCCACCACCCAGACGCGCTCTTCACAGCCGCCTGCCAGTTCCGGGGGTTGGGGCCGAGACGGCAGCCATAAATAGCTTTGGCTCGGGAGCAGAGGACACGTCACACTAGACGGAGCCTGACTGAGCACTGTGACCCACTTGCTGAGCACTCCTGGAGAGGACGCGCCCAGCCCTCAGGACACCTGGGTCTTTATCCCAGGGTCACATCGGGTGTGCAGTGTGAACTGGACATCTGGTCCCCACCAGGAACCATTTCCTTATAGGCAGAAGAGAAGATCATCGCTTAGTCTTTTAAGAGACACTTACTCCCATTCGATTGGTCCAGAACCTTCTAATCTCCCCACAGCCCACCTGGGGGGCCCCACCTGGCAGCCTCTCCGCAGCGGTGCTGCTTCTAAATTCCTGGCATTCTCCTAACCATTGCTAGAGGTAGGGATGGACACGAGCCACTGTGAAGAGGGGCAAACCGAGCCTGCTGGCTGCTCCAGGTTTGGCCAGGGGCCTTGAAGCAGGGGGAGAGCAGATGGCCCGTCAGCCTCCAGACTGGGGCAACATTCAGCCCTCAGGCACCATAATCCCCCTAAAAGGTGGTATCCCCAACCCCCACCTCCCAGCCCCCAATCAATCGGGAGCAGGCGAGGCCTCAGGAGTCCACTAAGAGACAAAGTGTCCCTGGCATTGGCTCCCTAGTGCTGGAGATGTGCTAGGGACACAGCCAGCCAGCGCCTGATGACAGCAGCTGGGTCACAGCCACACCCGAGGGGAGCATGTGCTGCGTAGACGCGGGCCATGGCACGTAGGCTTTGGGGCCCCCCATCACCTGTCCCTCCTGCTGTTCCCCTGCTCTCCAGGAGGGGGGGCCTCGGCCCTGCTTCTCTGACACACTGGGTGGGTGCCTTTCAGCCCCCATCAGGCATCGGGTCCCCTGGGGGACAGTTCGTACCTACCCAGAGCCCCTCCTGTGTGCCACTTACCCGACTGCCTTTGGGGCCAGGTTCTCCTACTGGTCCCGGTAACCCCTGGAATATAAAAGGCAGTGGGCAAGGACATATGGAGGTGTTCTCCCTGCTGCCAACAACCCAGAGCCAGTCCTGCCCCCTCTGGGCTTCAGCTGCCCCCTCTGTTGAACAGGAGTGAGGCTACACTTGGGGTCTTCATACCGAGCCTGCCTTGTGTCAGGTGGGGAGGTCCCTGGGGAAGCCTCAGGCACCCCACCCGCACAGCGCCAGAACTCCCGTCTTCCGTTCTCTGGCTGAGCACCCCTGCCCGGCTGCCTGCACAGCAAGGCTCCCTTGGTCCAGCCTCCTGAAGTTCCCTTTTAGGGGACCCAGCCAGTGGGCAACAGCTCTTTGGCGCCCAGCCTGCCACCTCCCTCTGTCTTGGGGCACCCATGGCCATCTCCACACCACCATGGCCACAGAGCTTCCAGAAGCCATATACTGCACCTGCCTGCCAGGGTAACCTTTGGCCCCTGGGCTGCCCTCAGGTCCTGGCTGCCCCTGCAAAGGAAGAGAGAGTCGTAAGGGAGGAGAGACCTTGGTTTGGCTGTGCTGGTCTGGAGGCAGTGAGGGCTGGGCCTCACAATGGACAAAGAAGGGCAGGAATGTGAGATGAATCCAGAAGGGAGGAAGGGGTCCCCAAGCCCACCTTCTGCAGAACCGGTCAGACCAGACTGAAGGGACAAAACCCCTCTGCTCTCAGCCCAGGAATAAGAAAGCACTGAAGAGGCCTGCCTGGCTGGCTCTCCATGCTGGCAGGGGATGCTGTTTGACTTGGGCCAGGGCAGCCAAAATTCCTGCAAACCCCACGGCGGCGTGTATAATATCCCCTAACATCGCCTGGAACAGGCCAGCTATTCATGGCTCTAACCAGAGTTGAACATCTCATGCCAACTTGGGGCCGGCATGGACTCCAGTTCTTTTAGGCAGATGTGGCAGGAGGGGAGGTGGGCGGGAGCCCCAGCAGGATGGGAGGCGGAGATTCCTGGCCCCAGGGCTCCCTGGGGGAAAAGCATGGTGCTGGGAGGAGACTGGGAAGGCTGGGGCCAGGAGACCAGGCAGGACAGGGCTGAGGGCGGGCCCTCACCTGTTCTCCGGGGTGCCCCGCAGGTCCAGGATAACCCTTGTGTCCCTGCAGGAAGAAGAAAAGGCATCAGGCCCAGAAGGCAAGTCAGGGTGTACCACAGAGGCCCCGCCAGCCCCACTTTTCAGCAGGAGGTGGGACCTGCTGGCACAACCTTGCAGAGGCTGTCTTTGGAAGTTTCCTGCTCTTTCCTCTTGCCGGAGGGATTCTTATACCAAGAGAGGTCGGGGGTGGCTCCCTGCTTCAGCAGAACTAGTGAGCTAAGCTGGGAAACACTATGACGGAATGATGCTGCACCCCAAATCCAAACATTCTTTCCTAATCCAGAGACAGGCTGGAGGGATTTCTAAAAGGATGGCTGGGTCACTTAGAATCTTAAGGTCTCAGATTTGCTCAGGCACCAAGGGACGCTGGAGCCTTTCATCAGGACCTGCCCCTTCTCATGAAGGCCCTCTTAGACAAATATAACAAATTTCACAAATGATCAAATATAGGGACCAAATAGCTGCCTCTCTTCCTCCCACCGTCCCCGCATCTGATTCCACATGCCCAGTGAAGGACTCTAGCCACATGGCCACCAGCCCCCTCCATGCCCACCACCCGAGGCCTCTAGAACAAGGGAACAGAAACAAGCTTGCACGTCAGGGGGTTGCTGGGGACGCCACATACTAGTTCATAAGCCGGGGTTCTCTAAAGCACTTCAAGCTTCTATCAGCGTAGGGGCTGTGTTGAAATACGACCAGGCAGGGGGCTTGTTTCAGGTGGGGCAACCAAGCCGATCTGTCAGACTCCATCACTCAGGAGTCCCAGGCTGGGTTCAGACACTCCCTGACTTACTGTGTGACGCTGGGAAAATTACTGCCCTCTCTGGTTTTGGAGTGAGGGACTTGGAACTCTGAGTCTCTTCATCATAGAGTACACACCACACACACACACACACACACACGATGCTGGAGACCCCCTCTAAGCGCTGCTGTTCACCCAGGGTTATGCCTCCATGGTCTCCTCCAGCCCTTACTAGCCTGATGAAGTGGAGGCGGGTGGAAGAGAGTCTCGCCTCCACTTTACAGAGAGGAAAACTGAGTCTCTTTGGAGAACTGAGCCTCTTGCCCAAGTTCCCTGCCGAGGAGCATCAGGGTTACTCACCGGCAGCTCCCCCCGACGCCAGAGGCCTCTGAGAGCCTTGCAGACATCCCAGACACACAGACCATGCACATCCACAAACACACGCAGGCACACACATTCGACACCCCCACAAACCTCCAGGAAGCGGGCCTCTTAACTGTAAACAACAGAGCCGGTTTGATCCAAGAGGCTTGGGAGTTTACAAGCATTCCTTCTGCACCTACTCACCCCTCAAGACTGCTCAGTGATGTGACCGTGTCTCAACTCCAAGCCCATGGAGACTGATATGACGTGGCCAGGTAGGCTGAGGAGGACACGTACTCTCCCCACAGCGGCTCACGCCACAGCTAGTAGCTAGCAGACCATGGGCCGAGCGGAGAGAGGGTGGCGGGGCTTAGAGATCTGGTGTCACATTGATCTGAATTCCTGTCCTGCTTCATCACTGGCTGGCTGTGTATGACCTGAAGCCACTGATGTCACCTCGCTGAGCCTCAGATTCCTCTTCTGTGAAACAGAGATCTAGGAGCATTGGGTCACGTACTTAGCACAGTATCTGGTGCTGAATTCCAGGGCCCCGTGAAGCCCAGCTGCTGTTATCTGCACGATCTTCCTATTTCATAAATTCACTCAACAGTCACTGAACTTTAATACACCCTTACCTTCTAGGCATGGGGTGAGTGAGAAGACAACACCCTTTGCCTTACTACAGTTTACAGTTTAATTAAGGAGACATCAAAACAAATAGATATAAAAGCTAACGTCTGGGGGACTGGGAGCCAGGGGGTTGTCTGTGAGTAGAGAGTTTTAGTTTTGCAAGATGAAAAAGTTCTGGAGATTCATTGCACAACAACATGGCACTACCAAATAGCACACTGAACATGGACAACATCGTTATGTTTAGGTTATGTGCCTTTGGCCATAATTAAAAATAAAATTCAAAAGAGACATCATGTGTGGTGGTGACCAGTGCTATAAAAAAAAGCGAGCAGTTGGAACATAGAGAATGGTGATGTCAGGCTGGGGCTTGTGACAGCAGGCAGGCAGTCAGGGCAGGCTGCCTGGAGGAGGTGACTGGGGGGGTTGCTCAGGGGACTGTCTCTTTAGGGGGAAAGTATTCCAGGCAGAGGAAGCAGCAAGCAGGTGCAAAGCCCTGAAGCAGGGATGCTCTCAGTTGGGCTTGAAGGAACGAGGCTTATTGACTGGAACAGAATGAGTGACAGGGAAGGGTGGGGTTAGGCATTGGAGGAAGCCACAGCACAGCAAGGCCATGTCATGATCTGACATGTCTATCAGCCATGTCTATCATTTCTGCACATAGAACTAGCAGACGAGAAAGAAGAGGCCAAGCATTTTTCCATGAAGCACTAAATCGGGGCTAGAGCTGTAGGCTGTGTGACTCCATATAGGATATTCCCTCTCTGAGTAACAGAGTCTGGAATCATGGGAGAGATCTCAGGAAGGGGGGCTGGGGTGCCTCTGAGCAGCACACACTCCTTTGGCTTCCTCGACAGCCACAAAGAAACCTGCTGGAAACCAACGCTTTAGCAGAGAAGCGTTGCCAGTGAAATCCTAGGAGGTGATTTCAAGTAAACACTTGATTCAGGATGCAGATAAAATGAAAAGAATGCCTGAAACCTGGCCCAGTTCTAAAGCCTTAGCTATGTCAGCTCACCACCTCCTTGGAATCACCCTACGAGGTGAGCGTTACCATGCACATCATTTGCCAGATGAGAAAACAGGCTGAGAGAGGTAAAGGGACTTCCCTGAGGTCACACAGATTCCCAGGCACAGAGCAGGCTGGGACTCCCATCTACATCTTCGTAACCAAACCCTGAGATGAGACACATCACGAAGGCCTGAGATCAACCTACGGCCACAGGGCCACCCGGCGCCAAGGTCCCCTTCCAGAAGATCCACCTTCCTGGGATGCTACATTACTGGGACATTATTGAGACATTATTGGGATGGTCACAGAATCCTGGAGTGTTCACACTGACAGGAACTCGGCCATTAATTTAGTAGCCTCCTTTCTCAAAGGACAGACTGAGACACTGAGTCTCAGGGGGTGAAGGAACTTACAGAGTTACTTAGCAAGTATGACCCAGCCCAAATATTCCACAAGGTTCTGGATTTGCTGGGCTGTGCTTTGTCCAGGAGACTGCAAAGCCTAGCTCACTATTATGCAAGGACCCAAAGGACCTTGAACGTGGCCATGAATGCCCATGTCTTTCAGCTGGCCTGGAGGAGCAGAGACTGAGCACAGACAAGGTATGGCGTGAGGGCAGTGGGAGATTTGTATGTTCCCTGGAAGCACCACAGCAGTGTTTATCAAGCTAAGGCGAGCCAAACAGCTTCAAATGATAGGGCTCCGGGGCCTGCAAGAATCTAAACCATTATCTTCTCCAAAGCCCCAGCAATTACCAGGCGGGCGCTGACCACAAGGTGGGCCCACGGCAGTCATTGCCACATATGATTGATGCCTGACTGTGCTGGGGGAGCAGAAGCTGCAGGGGACCTCCAGGGGCCACAGAGTCTGCAAGGGGCTTCTGGCCGCCCAGCAGGCGGGTCTCCACAGGACCCATGTTTATAATAGAACTTGGTCTATATTTTGGTTTGGGAGCCAGATTAATCATTGCTTACAATGCACAAAGAAAAACCAGACATCACCTCACTGTTGCTGCAGACAGTCTCCCTGCTGGCTGGGGTGCTATTTGGGCTTTGGGAAGGGAGGGGGTTCTGTCCTTGCCTGGGGTCCTGGGGACCAACATATGCCCAGACTGCAACTGTTCCCCCAGACCCCACCTCAGCCTGTGTGTGGCCGCCCCAGCCTGTTTTGTAGGAAAATGGAATTCACCATTCTTGCAAAGCACTCTTCCCACTGGACTTCCCTACCACCTCCGCAGCCCACAAGCCACCTGAGGCAGCCAGCAAAAGAGAACCTGCTCGCATAATCGAAAGAATCGGGAATAAAAAAACTGGGCAGGAAACAGAGTGACTGATTCCACAATTCTGGCCAAGTTTCTCCTTCTCTTGGGAGCTCAATTTCCCCAGCTTTGGCTCAGAAATGATAGGATCCTCAAATGTGCAGCTTGTCCAAAAGTATGTCCATCACAGCAAGCCAGACACAAACTGCACAGCGAATACGCGCCACAGGGCAGCACAGGAGGTAGTTACTGCATGGCTTGTCCATCTGTTCATCCATCCATTCACCCGTCCATCCATCCGTCCATCCGTCCATCCCTCCTCTGTCCGTCCATCTACCCATCCATCCATCCATCCATCCATCCATCCACCCACCCACCTACCCACCATTCATTCATCTATCCATCCATCAATCAACCCGTCCATCCAACAATCCACCCATCCACCCACCCACCATCTATCCATCCACCGCTTCATCCTTCCATCCACCCACCATTCATCCATCTATCCATCCATTGTCCAAATGGGTGAGTCCCAACAATGAGTCAGACCCTGTGTGGGGCATGAAAAGTACTTTGCGGGGGAAAAAAAAAACAAGCCTACACCCACCTACCAGTGGGATGAAGAAGCACAGAGAGCCAGGAAGGACAGCCTACCAGAGTAAACAGGCTTGAAGGCGCCGGCACTGAAGCACAAGGCGTGAGTAGCGCTTGCAGATGGCAGTGGGGGGCTCAGGCAGAACCCCAAAGCAGCTCAGCAACAGGGAGTTAGGAGGAGTTCTCAGTAGGAGCTCTGCATGGAACTGAGGTTGCCACGTCCAGGGAGAACTAAGTGACAGTCTGCAGTTGGACTCAGAAACATTCCCAGATGACCCCTCTGCCCTGCCCATTGTCAGTGGCCAACTCAGGGGCATAGGGAGGACTTGTGGCAGACCGAGGGCTGCAGGGGGACGAGAAAGAAGCTTCAACTTGAAATCCAATTGCACACACCTGGGGCAGCATGTAAGCAAGATTCCAAGGATGTATCAGGCCTTGGCAGGAAAGATCAGTGAGTGATGTCTGGAGTGCAAGGGAGGGAAGGAGGTACTCGACGGAACATCCCACACGGGGTTACGTTCCTGTGAAGAAACAAAATGAGCAGGCCCCACACACCTGCCCCGGCCCGAGGGGAGCCGGCAGCCCCAGGGGGTGGCCCAGAACGTGCAGCACCCCAGGGAGACAGAGCCTGGGCTGGGGAGAGAATGGAGAGCTTTCACGCCGGAGGTGCGGGGAGGTGATCTTGAGGAAGAAGGCAAAGAAAAAGAAGCACAGGACAGATGCAGGAAGCCAGTGTGGAGGACAGTGCATCCATCCGGGGCCGGGAGGCAGCGGCCCAGGGCACGTAGGTGGATGATGTGATGTGATGTGATGTGATGTGATGTGATGTGATGTGATGTGATGTGATGTGATGTGATGTGATGTGATGTGATGTGATGTGATGTGATGTGGTGTGGTGTGGTGTGGTGTGGTGTGGTGTGGTGTGGTGTGGTGTGGTGTGGTGTGGTGTGGTGTGGTGTGGTGTGATGTGATGTGATGTGATGTGATGTGATGTGATGTGATATGATGTGATGATGCGATGCACCGGCTTCTACGGGCAGTCTCAGCCTCAGCACCGCTGGCCCAGACCAGCCTGTGGTAGAGACGCTCCGCTCTCCTGTGCATTGTGGGATACTTAGCATCTTTGATTTCCATGTGAAGCTGCTAGCGCCCAGGCCCAACTGTGGTGCTGAAACTTGACACCAGCATTGCTAATTGTTCTCTGAGCTGTAAAATCACCCCAGTTGAGAAACTTTATAGGGGAGGACCCAAGAGGGTGAGGCTTGTGTTACAAAGGACTCCCAGCGCAAAGTGGAGGGCAGTTAACTGGTCACGAAGTGAGACCCATTGGTGGGCTTAGGCGGGTAAGACCAGTGCTTCTCCTTCACGAGCACTGTGATCACTCATTCATTCAACAAAATGTAGGAAGGGCTCAGCCCTGCCACCCCCTCACTACTGCTGCAGACGCAACAGCACCTTAACCTTCCACCACGCCAGGCGGCCACAGAGGTTCCATGTGGCCAACTGCCCAGCAGGAGAGAGGCCAAGCTGGGTTCCATTGGGCTCGGATGACCTGCTCCGTGTGCCTGTCCAGCCCAGCGACTGGGCTCAGCCAAGGGCCTCAGTCAGCGAGCACTGCAGGTGGGAAGCTGTCTGACACTTGCTGCCCTTGCTCTTATCAGAGAAGCTGCTGCAATCGCTTGCAGAGCGGGAAAGGGCCTGAGGACAGAAGACCTGGGTTCACATCCCAGCTCTGGCACTGAGAGAGCCCGGAAGAGATCTCCAGCAAAGCAGCACCTGTGGGCTTTGGCTGCACGTGAGGATGAGTCCGAGTCCCGCTCTCAATGAACCAGAACCCATTGAGAGGCCCAGGGCCCCATGAGGCTGAGAAGCACCACGGGATCCTCTAAGATCTCCTGGCCCCGGACACCAGGCCGGCACAGGGAACACAGCCACGTAATGTGCGGTGGACTGGATAAAGGAGACCTACTGGGGTCTCGGTTTTGCCAGCTGTGAAAACAGCCTGACTCGGAGGTGCCATGAGAAAAACAGCTGACAGGGGACAGAAACTCCTGCCAGAGGGAACCCTCCCAGCCCAAATGCCTTTCCTGCCTCCCTCTCCATTGCCCTGTTCAACTTCTAGCATACCTGATGTTTTTATTGTTTTCCTTTTCATTGTCTGTCATTTTCCCCCAACCCAAACACAAGAATACAAGCTCCTGAGAGGGTGGCAAGGCAGGGAATTTGGTTCAATACCTCACCCAGGGCCTGGCACAGGGCAGACATTTGATCAATTCTGTGGAGTTAATGAATAGGATATTGGGGTCACTCTGACAGCAAAATCCAACGTGCTGGTGAGCCAAGCTTCTCTCTGAGGCTCCCCACATGAGATGATGCCAAAAGCCACACAAGAAGGTTGGGGGCTGACTTGCAGCCAGAGCTTCCAGGCTCCACCCGCCTTCTCCTGAGCTCGTGGTGCAGGCCCAGCCAGGGCCAGAGGGACACAGTATAAGTAGTTCTGCCCAATAGCTTAGTAACCGCATGAGGCCTCTCCCTGCTCAGGTGAACTGGCTCCTCTTGGGTGGGAGCTCTTGGCCGCCCGAGCCATTTTCTGGAAGCAAGGGGGTCCTGAACTCCAGACAGGAGCCGTTCAGCCAGCTTCTCCCATCTCCTGCCACCTCCCACCCCCAGGCGGCCTGAGACCACCACTGGCTGCTTTATGAGCTGGGACTGGAAGGAGACTTTTCCACTCACACCTCATCCATCAGAAAGTGCTGGAACCCAGAGGGGAAGTGAGTGGGGAGAGGGAGTTCTTTTGTGTTCTATGAGCCAGAAAATACCACATTTTCCCAGCTCAGACAGTCATGAGCTCCTGTCTGGGTTTGGTCATTTCAGATTTGAGGTATGGCCTGCTCCAGTCTTGGAGAGTGGAGAGGAAGATGGAGGGATGTGATACCCTGTTTCATGGGGGCTCTCAGGGCTAGGACAGGACAGAGCCAGAGACACCACAGATGTCCAGAGGAGAACCAGATGGCTCTGTGATAGGGCAGCTGTGGCCATAGCTAGACGCCAAGAGAGGAAGCCTAAGACAAGGCCCTAGACTAGTGTGTCTACTGGAAAACCATCAGCCATGGGGAATTTTCCAGCACAAAGTTGTTGACCCTCATTTCCTCTTTTTCCTGAGTACCTACTATACCCAGGCCCTATGCTAGCCTCTGAAAGGAGAGCAACACATCAGATTTGCATGTTCTGAGTTGGTGAAGCTAGACTCAGGGCTAAAAATGATGAAGCTAAGGGTCCTTGAGCAGAGTGCAGTCTCCAGGAGGGCTTCCTGGAGCAGGCACTAGAGTTGAGACTGAAAAGTGGGAGATTCTGAGAGAAGATGGAATGGAGTCCAGAGGTGATAGAAGCCAGAGACCCAGCATCTAGGAAAATTCTAGAGGTAATTCCCCAGCATGACTAAAGCAGGGGTGGGGTGGGCATGTCAACAGTTCAGAATATACAGGGAATGCTTTGTTTTGGATTATTTTCGACAGCCAATCAGGGAGAGGTGAATAGTAGATTCAGAGAGGTTATTCACTTGCCCATGATCACACAGCCAGCAAATGGTGGCACCTGAGTAGAACAGGTCCCACAGACCCAGGCAATGTAGGGGCCAAGGAGGCTGTTACTGTCTCCATCCCAGGTAGTAGGTGGTTGACTGAGGCCCAAGATGGCTCAGCCAGTGGGTGGTGGAACCTCTGATGGCTTCCCTGGGCCCCAGGGGAGGGGTGACTAACCAGGGCCACTTCTGGTCACACTTCATTAACCAAGGTGGGGAGGAGGGTCCTACTCTAAGCTCCCAGGCTAGCACAGACCCTCAGAAACTCCTCACACATCCCAGCAATGTCCCTGGTGCCGAGGGCAACTGGGCTGGAGGAGAGGAGAGGAGGGAAGGTGGATGTCCACTCTCCTGTCTGAAGACCGCCTGGCTAGGAAGCCCGCTGGGCAAGATGAAGCATGGAAACCAAGATGTACCTTTCGTCCAAGAGGTCCTGGATTCCCAACGAGCCCGGGCAAGCCCACATCACCCTGCAAACACAAGACAAGGTGTTTAGACAGAAGGAGAGGAGCAGAGCCCATCATTACGATAAACAGGATTCATAGAGATCTAGGGGTCTCCCCGGTGGGCCTTGGACAGCCAAGTGCGCAAAGTACCAGCCCCTTCTCACTCAACTCAGCTGCTCCCCTCAGCCAGCTTTATAGGTGGGTCATCTGCAGAGGACGCCATCTGCGGAGTAGGTTCCACTGCTAAAGCCATGCTTGAAGGCCACTTGTCTCGGAAGATTGCGACTCAGCTGTCCCATTCCAACTAGCTCTTTCCTCTTATTCCCGGGACACTATCCGCCTATTCCTCAGCCTGGCAGGGCCATGGTGGTCACTAAATAGGGGACATTCTGCCACCACCATGAGACCTGAGCGCAGACAACACAGGAGCAGGAGGGAAGAGGACCATGGACTTGCTGCTGGCCAGCTGCATGGCCTTCTGCCACCCACCACAGGGCCTGTTTCCTCACTTGCACCCGGGCCATCAGCCCTGGCTTCTGAGGTTTGGATGTGGGTCAAATGGAGTGCATGCATGTGGACCTCACACCCAGTAAAAGTCCACTGAATAAAAAATCTTATCAATGACGCTATGAAGGAATGAGCCCTGAGACCCTGTGTCTCAGGAACATCAAAGGGAGCAGTCACTTCTGTGGGCCCACACACTGGACACTGGGGCAAGAAGCAGTGTTCTGGGGGGAGGGGTCCCCAGCTGTCTGGAAGGAGCCCACAGACTTAGTGTCCCTTGCACAATATGGGAAGCTGGATGCTGCATGCAGGATCTTACTCCAAGTCCTGGGCCCCCTGTTCTAGCCTGCCCCGCACCCTTTCTGGGCCCCCTGCTTGGCTCACGGGGTGGAGGCTTTGGGGATGGATAACAGCCTTTGACCTAAGTCTCTCTTCCAAGGGAAAATACCCCAGCCCCACAGATATTCAGAGTCAGGGAACTCTCAGTCTCCAGCTGGTTCCCTTCCTACTTCCTGGAAACCCACAGACCTCTTGCTCAAATGAACACCCCTGGGGTGGACTCTGAGTATCTGTTGGAAGCTTCCTGGGCAGGTGCCACCAAGAAGCTTCTGGATGCCGCGTCACCTAGAGGGTCTTGCAGAAAACCACACAGGGCCTTAGGCAAAGGAGATTCATTAAGCATCGCACACAGGCAGGATCTTCTAGCACTCTAGTGGCTGCACCCCAGAAGAGGCAATAAGGAATGGCTTTGGGTTTGGTGTGAGAAACGATCAAGGGATTTGAAGGAGAAAACCAGTCCACACCCCACCTGACCTTTCAACTTTCCCACGTCCCTGACCTTGCCACACAGTGGGCTCTGTAAGCAGGACTTATGCCTATTGTCCACTCCCCGTCTTCCTTGAGTGTCGGGGTTCCTGGAAACCTACCTTTGCCCCATCGTGGGCTTTTCCTGGTGAGAGCCCCGGGTCCCCCTTCTGTCCCTGAAACAAAAACAATTCTGCTTTGGCCACCAAGCCATCTAGAGAGCCAATGTTCCCCAAAGCTCTAGTCAAAGCCCCTGCTGAAATGCCCTTCCATCAACCCCGCACTCAGACTACTCCAATCCCGTCACTCCCCTGCTCTAGCACCTTCCATAGCTCCCCGCTGGCTGCATGATGCCAAATCCAAACTCTTCCTTTGGGGTCCCAGTTCTTCCAGCCAGATTTTATTCTCCTTCCACCAACCAAACCCACAAGTGGGGTTCCTCTGTCCATCACCAGCCGCCAGGCCCTGCTTCTCAGCTACCTTGCCCTTGCTCAGACAATCCCCACCCCCCAGAAAAACACTCCCCCAACCACCAAGAGCTGACCATAAACAGTCTAGATACAGCTTCAACGAGCCCTCTCCATATACAAGGGTACACACATGCACACTCACACACACACTCATGCACATTGCTGTGTGCATACACAGATATTTCTGCACACAGGTGTGTGCACACCCGGGCACACGTACATGCTCACTGGTAAATGCACGCATACATGCACACTGGTAAATGCACACATACATGCACATGGTAAATGCACATGTACATGCACACTGGTAAATGCACACATACATGCACATGGTAAATGCACATGTACATGCACACTGGTAAATGCACGCGTGCTCAGCCATCTGCACGTGTGAGCACACACTGGCACATGCACATAATCACACAGGTGCACGCTTACACAGCCACTGGCTTCTGACATTTCTTGGCAAGGAGATGTGGAGATAATGGATGTGACACATGGGAGGGGTAGTTTGGTCAACTTTACTTAGTTCCCAGTTGGTTCATTTCTTAGCCAGAACTCAGACCTTCCAAATCCTGACTCAGTCACTCTTACAGGAAATTTTTGCATTCCAAACTGGACAGGCTTGAGAGCGAAGGAAAAGGCCTTTTGCTGCCCATCTACCCCACACCCCATACTGTGCTGGGCCGGCTCAATGCAGCAATTCTGTTAGTCCTCTGTTAGCCCTGGGTGCACTCGGGACCGAGACAGGGGGTCACAGAGACCGGGTGACATACAGGTCACAGGCAAAGTCTTCATTAAGTGTGACTAGGTCCCTAGTTTGACTTCAAAGCCCTCATTTATAAATGGGAATTCTAGATGTTTCACCCCCACTCCCTCCATGGCTAAAGGCCACTAGGACTCCAGCTCTCTATCTACCTGAGTTCCTCCAGATCACTTCTTCAGAGTCCCCATACACCCCCCGCGGGACCCACACCCTCACACAGAGGCTGCCCCTCACACACACTTCCACCCTCAGCTGAGCATAAACCAGCTGCAACGCCTTTTATGTCCACGGACAAGGCCAGGCTCAGGACTATCAAGGATTCCATGTCCAAAAAAGGCCAGCAGCTTCTGCCCACTGCACCCTCGCCCACCTCGGTCTGCAGATGGCAGAGGAGTTGGACCTAGAAAGCTTTCAGGAGTTGGCCTTTGTGCATCTAATTCTGTTATTTTACAAAAGGTAAAACTGAGACCCAAGGAGAGGATGGACTTCACTCCCTTGCTCAAGGTCCTTACTGGGGCCTTTCAGATATTTATGGATTTCCTCTGCATTCTCAGCAACCAGCACAAAACTTGGGATGGAACCACTGCCCAAGTACAAATTCAAGTGCAGATACTTAGTGAACATCTACTATTAATCAAGTCTTGGAATGAATACAGGGAATGCCACGGTGAAGAAACAAGATACAACTCATGTCAGTGGGAAATTCTCGAGGGAGAAACCAGAGGAAAAGTATAATGATTATAAACATTCACTTTTACTGCATGTTCTTCTAAACTCCCAGAACATAAATTCATCAGGTACCAACTATCATCATCTCCATCTCACAGATGAGGAAACTCCTCACAGATAAGGCATAGATATTAAAAGTAACATGTCCAAGGTTATACAAATAGAAATTAGGATTTATATTCAGGTCCAGAGCCCAAGCTCTTTACATTTCAATATGCTGCAGATGAAAAAGTATAATGCAATAATAAATGAAGAGAGGAAGAAGTCAGAGAGGACTTGACCCAGATGCTGGTTAAACTCCTAGAGGCAGTTGCAACTCAACTGAGGTTAGAGAAAGGCAAGGAGGGAACCAATGAGGTTCAATTGGTTCAATTTCAATGCTTGAAACACACCTGATCAGATGACTTTTGGGGTGCAGACCACTACATGACTACTTAGCCAGACTCCTGCAATTTCCCCAGAGAGAGAAATAAGAACATAGATCTAGTTAATTGTTTACACCTTGCTGAGAATGAGAACCTGGTCAACAGCATTCTGTGCCCCAGCCAATGAGTCCACACCCCTGGGGCAAGCTCCTTCCCTACCCTGGGTGAGGAACAATAGACTCTGGCAGGAGCAATTAACAGAGCTTGTGTTACAAAAGATGGATGGAGTGATATATTCTAAATTGCAAATACTACAATATAGGGGATGGGAACTATCCTGAAGTCCTAGTGGATAGGACTTGGAGATAGAAAGAGTAGAGGAGTCTGGGATATGATACAGAGAGAACAAAAGAGCTACAAAACAGTAAGGAATGGGAACTTCTGGGCTAGAAATTCCCTGGTCAGTCATCTCTGATCCCAGGTATCCAGCACAGTGCTTAGCCTATAGAAGCATCATAAAATATTTCACAAAACCAGCAAAGGAATGAATTGAATCTCAAGAGATAGCTCTTGAAACCACCTGTGAAGATTCCCTGGGCCTTTCCATATCACCACTACTGTTTCATGTGTTCAAAATTTTGGCCAAAGCAATAAGGCAAGAAAAACAATTAAGAACAAACTTGGATGGAAATGAAACAAAGTGTATCTTTCTTAGTAAATAGTAAGTGCCTATATAAAATCCATAAGAACTAACTGAACTTATTAGAATAAAGAAGATAATTCAGAAAAGGGGATGGTTATGAAACAACATAAAAAGTACAAAAATGCAAAAGTCAGCTTTTCAATAGCTGAGAACCAGCTAGAAAATATAATGGACAAAATCTCCATTCAAAACAGCAAAAAAAAACATAAAATTTCTTCATACAAACTTAAAAGGTATTGTGCAGGGTTTTTGCAATAAAAAGAAAAAATATTTGCTAACAGATGTTTATAAAGTTCAACCAAATGGGAAGACATGCCAAGGTTTTAATAGAAAGGAAAACTTAATGTTATAAAGATGTTAATTCTTCATAAATTAATATACACATTTAATATAATTCCAATAAAAATTCCAAGAGCAGGCCCTCCCTGGTGGTACAGAGGGTTAAAGCACAGCACTAAGAAACTAAAGCCACTTCCGCATGAGTTGGATCCCTGTCTGCCCCGGAGGAGATCCACAAGGTGCGGCAGACCTCTCCTGACCCGCCCGCTGCTCCACTCAGCAGTATACTTTGTCGATCTGCCTGTTCTGCTCCCCACTGTCTCTGGTGAATCTTCTCATTGCCCCTGTGCCTCTGGCCTGTACCCCAGTTCTGTATGCATAAATAAATATTAAAAAAAAATTCCAAGAGTGTTTTTAAAGGAAATTATTAAGAAGGGAATAAAGTCTTTCTGACAGAATAGTTAAGTATTTTAGAAGTGGGGAGTAGAAGAAGATGGTATAAAGGTAGTAAATGTCAGATAATAGTATTTTACCGGCTTACAGATATACAAACAGAGCAATGAAAGATATTTGAATGGGCTGAAATAAACCCTGACATATCTTATACTAGAGGACAAAACTTTATTTAATAAATGGTTAAATGTGAGAAAAATAAAGTTTGAGCTCTGCCTCATACCCTCTCCCCATGAAGATTAGTTCCAGACAGTTTAGATTGTGAAGAGTATAAATGATAATATGAACAACTACCTGATCTTAAAATGGGAAAGAAATGTCTAAGTAAAAGCAAAGTAAAAAACTATGCACTTTACATGGAGGTAGAACCTCTCAAAACTATCAAATCTATTTCCTGACAAGGCTTAGCTATAACTGTTAGTTTAAATGAAAGAGAACACTTTCCTTTGTGTTATCTTCATGATCAAAATAAAAAACATCATGAATACTCTTAAGAGACAGCAAACTGAAAACTTTGGTAAGATAAATTAATAACCTGAAACTGTAGGTATAAATAATTTTTAACAACCCATAATGAAAGACAACATCACAACCCCCAAAATAAATGAATTCATAAGTGGTGAAATATAAATGAAAGACAGACAGAAGAAAAACACTCTCCTCATAGGTGACTGATCAAGTTATTTGATGTGAAAACAGTAATGGATTTTCTTTTTAAAATCTTCTCCTCTAATGCTAACAGAAGCATGAATAGTTTCCTTCTTTCTGGAAGGCAAGTGTTAACAAAAAGGGTCAATCATGGGTTTACTTACAAAAGGGGAAAGGAATAGGAAACAATCCAGGGAAAGAGAGCGGGACACAAAGTAACTGTGATACCTTATGGCTAAGCTGACTGAACACGAATCACGCGGTCTGGAGAGCCGTTTCCCGAGCGAGAGTGAGAGATGTAATCGTGCCCCATTTGGCCCCCAAATATCCCAGAATTCCTGCTAGTTCCGCCCTTGGGTCCTCGCAGTTCTTTCCCTGGTACTGCTGGGAGTTGTAGTTTCCAGTCACTGGCGTAGAGGCTGGAGTCCAAGGTCCAGCATCAGTATCCACACCAGGGAAGCTCCAGACCTCCCCACTGGCCACCTCTTACCCTACTGGCTGCTGGTAAGGCCCTGTTTTCAAGCTGCCTGAGTGGCCTTTGCCACTGAGTGACCATCTGATCCTGTCACCTCTGCATCCGACCTCAGCTGAACCTTCCTGTCCTCTGAGAAGGTGACCCCAGCCCATCCCAGCCCATTCCATGGGCCCCCAGTGCCTCTCATGCAGACCCCTGAGATGGCATAATCCGACGTCATTCTCCATTCATCGCTGTAATGAGCTTGTTCCCCAGGGTCAGGCACTGCGCCCACTCAGGCCCCATTCCTGGCCCGGCAACCTGCACGTGCTGACAGCTGACCATTCCAGGGGACTTGCCAGAGGCCACACAACTCTAAGCGACTCCACGACCCTTCAGGACAACCTGCGGGGCCAGCTACTCTTGCACCCATATTCCAAAGGAAGACACTGAGGCATGGGAAGTCCATAAAACTTTCTCACAGTCCCAGAACCAGAACAAGACTCCAGGCTCGACATTCTTAACCATGTGCTTTCCCACAGCACCAGCTGGACACAGGCATCCACTCAATGGCTCCAGCTTGGGCTCCAAGGTCAGCCAGTGCTGGCCTCCTAGGTTCCAGCTTCTCCACCTCATCTCAGTCCTTGATGCGGCTCCCTGCAGAAGCTGGGAAAAGCTCCTGATGGAGTCAAACGTGGGTATATAGCTATCTGCTCCCTGGACAGCACCGGGGCTCTGGAGGAGGCAGATGGGCTGAAGCTGGGCTCTGCCTGTGCCAGCTGTGGGTCCTGGGGAGCATTTCCAATAGCAGCCCCAAGACTCAGAATACAGCTCTGTCACTGCCTGGTCTGCAGGTGACCTGGGCCAGTCACCCAGGCCCACTGTGACCTCAAGGAATAAAGGACCTTTGCTCTTTCTCCCCTCCCTGAGCTTCATCAACCCGCCTGTCTCTCTCACCCTTCCGTCCCCACCTCACAAGAAGAATCAGAAGCCATAAATGTGCTGAAGGATCACCTACAGTGCCCGAGCCAGACAAGGGGCAGGCTCCCTGGACCAGGGCCAGTGTGGCTAATCTCTTCATCAGCAGCACAGAGTAGATGTGTGTTGACCGGAAGGGGTGAAGTGGCTGGGTGGCCCAGAAGCAGCGCTGGGTGCTAATGTCATAAGGAAGAAGAAAGAGAAGAGCATCCAGGGAGCCAGCCCTGCGATCCCACCGGTCACCTTCCAGGCCCAAAGGGGATCAGAGTAAAGAGTGGCTCTCTCTCAAGAATCATGAACACTCATACCGATCCAAAGGATTCTCACACACTCTCAGCCAAGTCAGGCACTCCACCCAGGGAAAGCCCCCGCATTAGCCCTGGTCTGGCCATGCCACAGTCCAGTAGACTGCAGCCTCCCACCAACTGGCCTGTCCCAACTGGCCTGTCCCTGGGCCACCTCCACTCACCCTTGGGCTCAGGGCCAAGTGTCTAGGCAAAGAGCATGCTTTTCCCCTTCGGTCTTTTATGAAAGTGTCAGTGGGAGAAGCAGCTTCCCATTCTGGGGTGTTTTCTAGAACCCACACCCTTCTCTGTTAGGCACAGAAGCCAGCTGGATGCCTGTCCACAAAGGCCTGAATCCACATTTCCCAGCTCCACGTGGGGGCAGGAAGACTGGTACCCCTGGTACCAGCCTCGCTCCCCACCCCAGAATGCCTCTCAAAACGGAGGGAGAAGCGGCTGGCAGACCTCCGCCTGCCTGGGCATATCTGTTGGCATGATGGCGTGCAGGTCAGTCTGGGCTTCTGTGGACCTGGGACTCAGGCCCAGAGTGGGAGGTGCAGGGGGAGCAGCGGGAAGGGCCGGGAAGGGCCCAGGACCAGCCAAGGGGAGGAGCCAGGGAGCATCCACTGTCACAGAAGTAGGGGATCCGTCTGGGAGCACGAGTGACCAGCCATCCCAGAGACGGTCAAGATGGGTGAGCTTCTGAGCAAACCTAGCCATTCAATAGAGCTGAGGACCCTCGGCTTCTTGATGTACCCCTGGGCTTGGGAGCTCTGAGGTCTCCCCACTAAGTAAAAGTCTCCCAAAGAATTCTACTCTCTCGGCCACTCTTTCATGCTACCTTACCCTAGACAGTGTCTTAACCCATCTGAGCCTCAGTTTCCCTGTAGGGGATAAGCTCCCATATCCTAGCCATAAATGGGACCGTGTTTCCACTGTGGAAATCAGTGAGGCAAGCTTGGCAAAGCGTGTGCCGAGTTCCTAGCACACAGCAGGGCGCTATCACCGCGCTCGCTTTGTTATAGCCCAGAGCACCTCTGCCACTGCCGAACAAGGGGCCTGAGGCCTCCCCGACCCCCTTCCATGGAAGGACCCCAGCACAGCACCGGCTGCAGAGTCACAGACCCACAGGCCTGCGCTGGGCGCCTGCAGTGTGGGCGAGGCCTGTGCCAGCCAGCGCTGAAACCGTGCTCCTCTCTCCAGAGCTACCTGCACGCAGCCTTTGTCCCAGCTCTCCCGTGAGCTGGTAGGCTGGAGCTCGGTCCAGGAGCTGGCCCGTGGCCAGGCAGTTAAAAGCTTTCCTTAAGCCACTTGACCTTTGCAGTTGGGTTAGCAAAGAATGACCTTGGGTCCGGGCCAAACAAACTCCAAGTACGCTCTTCACGGGGGTAAGCGCAGGCAGGGGTCTGAGCAGGGACCCCTACCCTTCCCAGGCTTCCCCCATTCCTTCCACACAATTGCTGCACCCTCAGCTTCCATGTCTTGCAATTTCTTCCTGACCTTTTCCCCCAGCAGTTACTCAAGACTTCTCCTGGTGACCTAAATGTTGCTGACCCGGCACGCTTTCTGGAGCATTTACTTCTCCCTGTGCACACAGCCCCAGACAGGCCTGTTCCCTGGCCAAGCTCCAGGGAGGCCAGCCGAGCTCCTGAGCCAGAGTACCCCAAAGTCAACAGGGCACCAGCCACTTTGGTTTCTGTGGTCTCCTGTAAAAGTTATCTAGAGCATTCCAGGAAGGCTTCCCGGGGAGGTGGCATCTCTGTGCAAGCCGATTCCCCAGGCTCTGTCTCTAGCTCAGAGCTCCCCTGAGTTATAAGTGTCCATCATGTATGCCCTCTGGCTGGGCTACAATGTTCCCAAATGCAACATCACTCTTATTCTTTCTGACAATGCTAATGCACCCCTCCTTCACACCCCAGAGCTGGCGGGAGGCCTCCTCTCTCCTCTGTGTCACCCGGAAATCCCCGTCTCTGCTCTGAGCCAGCCCCAGCCCATTCTCCACACGGCATCCAGAGACCTTTCTGAGTCATTCCCTGTCAATTCCGCATGGCCCTCAGGGTGCACTTAGACCCTGTGAAGTTCACATGCCCAGTCGGACACTCAAGGCGCTCCCTGGGGGGCACTCGTCTCCAGCTGCCCTTGCATTGGCCTGCATTTGCCCTATGGAGCATCAAATGAGCTTCCCTCCTGCCCTCTCAAGGACTCCAGGTCCTATTACCCTTGTCTCTGAAACCAGAAGCCGAATTCCCAACTTCTCACCGCCTCCAGCTCACCAGCACAGGACTGGCACTATGAGGTGGGAGTCAGGGAGGGTCTACGGCCTGTATGTGCCCCCTCCACAGCATTTGGGATCCTGGGGAACATGCAGGTCTGGCCTCAAGCCTAGTGCCACCCACGGCCCTATCTCCCAACCCATGGCGAATACTTACTTTGGCTCCAGAAAGGCCTGGGAGACCTGGATTTCCGTAAGGGCCAGGAGGACCCTGAGTAAGAAAAGAAACAGAGAGATGAGGGAACACGAGTCATTCCATCCCCTGCAGACGTGACTGGCAGGACCCTTCCGCTCACCAGCTGAACCTCAGCAAGGTGGTCAAGGTGGCCTGCTTGTAGGGAGGGCCTCCTTGATGCAGGCCAGCACTGTGCGCTGCTAGGCACGCTCCAGGATCTTCGCCCCACAAGCGAATTACTATGGTTATTCCTGCTTTGAAGATGAGGAAGCTGGTGTCCAAGATTTACAGCCACCTCAGGTCACCCAGCCAAGGGCAGAATGGGACCTCAGTCTCAGAGACGGGGCAACCGCTCACCCTGACTTGCCCTGCCTGTCCACATTCTGTAGTCTGGCCCAGCGGCCCTCCTCGGCGGGCGTCCTCAGGCTCAAGGCCCAAGTAGCTGCTTGCTGGACTCCTCTGTGTCTGCAGCTTCTTCCTCATGGCCTTTAGGGAGCCGCTCCCTAAAAGCTGCTCCCACCACCTGGCATGCTTTTCCCACCCACCCCTCCAGTTAAAATCCAAATCCTCCTTCAAGGTTAAGCTCATGTGCCACTTCAACCAGGACACTTCTAGGACTCCTCCTGCCTGGAGGAACCCTCCAGAGGAACCAGCTGGACTTCTGTACGTGCTTTGGGGACAGACAGCACAACAATGGGAGCCTCTGGACTCTTCTGAACCAAGGCACACCCCTCCTGGCACCACACCCCACTGTCAGACTCTCCCTCAGATTCCTACCAGCCCTGAGTCTCCAGGGTCCTCAAGGGATCAGCAGCAGCTGGGAAGACCAGGCCCAGAGAGTCAAAGCGTCTGGGCCAAGGTCACACAGCAGAGCACCAGCCAATTGAGGCATGGACTAGGCCTGTTGGCACCATGTCCAGGCTTACTCATGGCTCCCAGGTCATATCTGAATCCCCCTTCTACAGCTGTGGCCTGCTCTGTGCGCTTTTGCCAGCAAGGGCCTTACACTGCAGGCTTACAGCCCAGTCAGATAAACAAGGCCCAAGAGTCAAAGTTGCTGAGGTCCTTGCCCAGCAGAAATGGGAACAGTGCGGGTGGGTGAGGCATCTGGAGGGGTCCTGCGGTGGCCTCCACCCTCAGCGCCCTGGCCCCTCTCAACTCGTCTGGCTAACGGTGTGAACTTGCTTCCTTCCTCCCTCTCTGAGGCCAGCTTCCCAGCTGCAGCCTGTCACATTCCGACCCAGGCACCTCCCTCTTCCTCGATGCCTGGGTTGGAACCCTCCCCTGCTCTGAACACATGGAGACAGAGCCGCGTACAGAGTCCACACGGCCTGGGGAATTTATAACAGTGTCACGTGTGACCTCCCTCCAAACTAACCAGCTCTCAGCCCCTCCCAACATTCCACCAACCACTGTCTCCTGGCACCTGGGTGTGCCTAGTAGTGAAACCTGGTCCCAGTTCTGAGCCCACACCCCCAGCCTGTCTTCCCATCTGTCCTGTGAGTGTGGGACCCAATGGTCACTGGCGTATCTGGAAAACTTGAGAGTTAGCCCAGACCAGGCTGCAAGGTCTAAGCTCAGAGTTCAGCTTAAATTGGGCATAGTTGGGTGGGGTGTGTCTGAGGGGAAGCCTCTGGTACCCAGCACCCCCAGAACAAGATATAGGCTTCACAAAGTCAAGGCCTCTTGCCCATGCCCCTAACTAGCCCAAAGATCGGTGGGCTGATTACCCTACCTGCAGCTAGAGAAGTGGGTGCCTTTTGCTCCTTCACCCCCACCCCCCTACCCCCCTGCAGTCACTGTCTTGCAGAGCTTGAAGCACATAGTTGACCAGGAGCCAAGCAGACCGATTCTATAAATGCTGCAACCCAGAAAGTCGGGTTGGGGGAGAACCCAGGGACTCCCCAGCTTCTTTCACTCAACTAGGGAAGTGAGTGGAGGTGGGATGGGACCTGCCCCAGAGCTGAGGGTGACCTCAGGAAAAGCCCTCCCCCAGCCCTGAGCCCAGAGTCACCATCTGTGCAGAGAGGAGCTGGGACTGATTAATCTTAGGGTTCCATTATCTTCAGAATTTTATGATCTATGGAATTTTTAGTCTACAAACAGGATGATGATGCAGGGGTGTGGTGGTGGGGGCAGAAACACAGAGAGCCTTAGAAGGATGTGAGGAGAGTCATTCACTCACTCGTGGAATTTCTGAGCTGGGCAGAACCTTGGGAATGGTCCTGTGATCCTGGCTGTCATAGATGGGGAAACCGAAGCCCAGAGAAAAAGGGCTTGTCTCGGATCACACAGCTTCTGCGTGGAAATGTTCCTGACTCCCAGGCTACCTCTCTGCAGCAACCATTTGCCAGCACCTGCGAGGCATCGGGTAGGCGAGACAATAATAACCAAGGTCTGCCTCTGACCGGGGCGGGGAACTCAATCATGGGACAGAAACATGAGCGCAAAGAACAGTTATGACTGTCGGCTCTGGGGTCAGACTGCTCGGGCTCGATCCCAGCTCTGCCATTTACTTAATGTTTGACCTTATCCAAAGTAGCAGAACCTTCTGAGCCTCCGTGTCCTTGCCTGTAAAATGGGGATGATATTGGAAGCGATTTCTCAGGACGGCCGGGATCATAAGATCGCGCATATGCAACTCAGCAAACGGAGTTTCAGCGTTAGCAAGCATTGTGAGGAGGGATCCACGCCTTCCAGAGGGCGGGTGACCTGCTGCAGGAGCCTGCACAGTGGGGCCCTATCACAAAGGAGGTAGCATTTGATCTGAGCCATGGTTGGGGAGAGGCTGGGAAGGAAGTCATGCTGAGTGGAGGGGCAGCCTGAGTCAAGGTGCAGAGGCTGGGAGTGCTAGGGGAAATTTGGGGACCTGGGCAGACGCCCCAGAGTGCTAGGTCTAAAAGTCTCATGCTGATCCTAGGCTGCAAGGTCTTGTGGCCAGCAGTGCCCAGAGCCCAGGGATCCCAGCTCTGGACCCGGCTCCATGGAGGCAATGAAGCCAGAAGGAAATGCTGCTCAGAGAGCAGATTCCAGGGCCCAAGGTCCAGGAGTGCAGGGCCAGGTCTGGAGGGAACTAGGGCTCAAGTAATTGCATAACCAGAACCATCTGCTGGGTTCAGAGCTAAAAATATGCCCCAGCCAGTTATCTCTGCCAGGGCCTCGACAGGCACCCAGCGTGGGAAAGGCTGATTTGGCCTGGGCACAGATGCCAGGTGCCATGGGTCCGAGTCCTTTTAGAACGGGGCCGATTTCCCTCCAGAAAACCCCCAAGGGTCATGGCATAAGGTTAAGGGCCTGAGTTCCAGTCCTGGATCGGCCATTTCCTAGATGTCCAATCTGCTCATCACTAAAAAAAAGAATGATTTTACTGGCCCATGGGGTGCTGGGTGCTAAAAGAAGGCTATCAACTAAGGTGGCATAAGTAACAAGCCAGACACAGGAGCTGAGGTTCCAGCTAGCTCACATCAGCCACCACAGGCCTGCCAAGCTGCCTCCAGCCTTTGAGCACGGGAACACACTCCCCTCCCTGGCATGGCTGGCCCAGATGTGTGTGTTGGCATCCCTACCCCAGGATGGTCCTGCAGAGATGGGAAGGGGGGTACAGGATCATGTCCTCTCAGGTCAGCTTTCTTGGACAAATGCTCAGGGAATGTGCTCTGCAGAAGCCTGCCCCCACCACAGCTGCCAAGCCACCCACCAAGGATGACTGAGGCCCAGCACAAGCTCACTGCTGTCCCATGCCAAGTCTGCCCACCCAGTGGCTCTTAGAGATCCTCAGAACCCTAAGTCCACTCCCTGGACAGAGCAGAAAATAGATATTAGAGAGGGACAGGGAGCACCCTGAAGACACACAGCAAGGCTGTGGCTTCAGAGTCAGTGGATGAGGCCACAGAACCAGCCAGGGCTGCAAAGCCTCGCCTGTGATCACTTACCCGAGGCCCTCTTGAACCAGGGGGTCCAGGAAGCCCAGGCAGTCCAGGGGGACCCTGAAGAGAGATCAAGAAGACAGCATCAGTGCCAAGTGGCAACAGAGAATGGGTTTGAGCAGTCATTCAACAAACGTGTCCAGAGTTCTGGGCATGGAAACCTGATGGCTGCGATGGGGAGTTCTCTGAGGTCACGACCTGAGCAACTCACACTTTTTGGAGGTTACCAGGGCTTGCAGCTGCAATTTCTTTGTCTTTGAAGTTATCATATTTCACTACGCACTCAGCTGACTTGCTCAGTTCAAGTATCATCTCCTCCAGGAAGCCTTCCCTGTTCCCTCCACTGAGTTGATCCAAGTTCCTCTTTCCTTCTACTTCCAAGCTCATTATATTACTTGGGGGAGTCGTCTGCTTAAAAGGCCAGCTCACTAGACCATGATCTCCTCAAAGGAACAAATGGGATATGAGTCATCTCTTTCTCCCCAGGGCTCAGCCAAATGCTTGATAAAACAAAGCAGCAAGCAACCTCAGCGCTCAGCCAAGTGCTCTGCAGGCCAGAACAGAGAAGGGACTTCTCCAAGGTCACCCCACGCATCTTTGTGCCAGGGCGAGGCAATGTAGTATAAAGGGTGTAAGCAAAGGCTTTTGCACCAGACAGCCACTAACCACCCTGTGCCTCTAAATGGGAACAATAATTCCCTCCTCACATGATTATCCCAGGATGAAATGCGAGATGGTCCGTGCTCAACACAGAGGTACACAGACTACCTCACTGGGGCTTTTCCTGAATGCGAGGTTTGTGTGATTCTG